GGCATCTCTGTCTGTTGTCAAAAAATGGGGTGACAGTGTTGTCATTATGCACAGAATCAGCCAAAACCAAGGCCTGAGAAAGAGGAACAGCAAACTTTCTGCTTATATGATTTGTAGAAGTGACAGCTCCATTTACCCTTTCCTGTCTTAGTCTGCTCCTAGACCCACTTACACTGTTGCATCCAGTCCTCTGTTCCTTCAGCCTGCTCTGAATGCCCTGGTGCCCATTCTCTGGTGAGTGCCTTAAAGATCTGGCCTCACTAACTCTGTTATAATTCCTCTCTTTCTGTACTCACAGGCATTCATTCTACATCCAGTAGTTGGAATTGGTTTTTATTTATTCCTTCCTGGATCAAATCTTTCCTCCCATCTCATCCATCCTCATGGTTAATCTCAGCTGTATGCCTGTCACATTTTTTTCTCTTGAAATGAGGTAGATCTTGCCTTTTCAGTACAGATCTGCTCTGTGACTGTTCTTCCTGTCCTGGGTCACCCTTGTGCTCTACCCACTCTTCTCACCTTTGCTTCTCTTCCTACTTGCACCATCATTTTTGTTCCAACCTGCCTCCTACATTTGCTTATTCTTCCTGGGCATCTTTACTCTTTTTCAGATCCCTCTCAAGCCCACTCTCTTTGTGTTGATAGCTTGTGCTCCCAGGATAGAACTTTCTTCCTTCCTCCTCATATGCCCTTCCTCAGCTCCTACTTCAGTATATCAGCTCCTATGTGATTCATTCTCCATATAGCATTTATCTTCTTTCACTTGATTCCTCACTTCCCCTCTCCACCTCCTTCAACTGGCAAACAAAATTTTCTGGTTTCCATGAAACAACATGACTATAGATGTTGAACACTGAATTAAGGCCAAATAAGCAGCATTCAAGCCTCAGAAGCACCATTTTGTAGAAAATCTCATCAGTAGCAGCATAAAAATATATACTTATGGATTTAGATAAGAAATTATTGGAGATATACAATTGCTGGCACAGCAGCTGCTGCAGCTCTGGCAGAATCTTTGGCGTAATTCACAAGCAAGCTGCAGTGTAGGCATGAGATGCCTGGACTGCTCCTGTTATCATTATTACTGCTGCTGCTTTTCACCTGTGTACCTCTTCTCTGTACCTCTCATTATTTTCCAGGGCTGAAGAACCTGTCCCTCTCCATTTGGTCATGTTTCCCACTGATGTTGCAACATGACACATCCAGGAGGCAACAAATGCAGCAGTATTGCAGCAGTAGGAATTTGGGTATATTAAGTTGCTGCTTTAGGAAGATTCCTGCCCAAAGACTACATGGTCTAGGCTGTGGTCACTGTGTCTGCACGGAAAACAGAGCTGGCTGCCACAGTCTCTGTATCCATAATTGCTCTGTGATAGGCTCATGGAGCTCACACAGACCCAAAATTTACTCACATGCTTCCTCCATTTCTCTGATAAGGGTATTTCAGAGCTCTCACTTCATACTCAAGTGGGTTCACTGCCAGTGTAGCTTCTTCTCCCATTATCATGGCAGCAGGAGCATCTGTTTCAGATGAAGAATGACAAAATGTGCTTCCTAGGCTCATTGGAATCAACAGCTTTGTCATGGCTTTCTCTCATCGGTACTCCTGGGTCATTTCGCCTTCCTTTAGTAATAAGGAGCTGTTTCTTGGCCACTGACCTTGTATGACCCACAAAAAAGGAGGGTGGCTCCTTCCAAAGAGTTGGCTGAAGTGTGGCTGACAATGAGTCGTGTGCAGCTTTCCTTGGAACAGTGTGGGAAGCAGGGTATAATGCTGCTGCTGCTTGTGCTAGTGTAGACCTAGCACTGCTGCTCTTGCTGCTCTCATGACCATTCTGCTGTGCTAAAATTTCTTCCTCAAGACACAGCAGAACAGAGCAGAGCTCAGGTCTTCTATTACAGCAGGGCTTCCCTTCTCTCACTGCATGTGAGGGTTGCTGAGGTCTATTTAGAGTCACTAACACTGGTAAATAAAGTGATTAAATAAGAAGTGCTGTCAATTCTTCCCACCAGAAAACTAGCACAAGAACAGGCTAAACTAATCAGCCATTCTTCTTTGTCAAAAGGGAATAAAACAAGTTCATGGCCAAGTGACCCTTATTTATGAGAGAATTCCTGACAGAGGCTCAGTGCAATTGGGTCTTACCACAGCTTAGAGTACAGGACACTTCTGTTTGATGCAGTCCTGGTTTTGTCAGAGATATCGAGGCCTGACTAATCTGTGAAAGAATACATTTTTAACACAAAAAATATATGGCTGTAGTTAACAGAGCTGCCTAATTACATCTTCTTCCTCAAGAAAAATTAATATTTTTCCATATACTCAAATCAAACCAGTATATTCAGATTCTGGCACCATTTCCAAATGGTCCTGTTGGAAGTACAGAAAATGCTGAGATTTTGAGGCATTGTCTATACAGACAGAAAAGGAAATGTCTTAATGAGATATGCAAAGCAGCATGGTCTCTGGAACAGAGCACCAGATTGGGATTCAGGAAACCTGGGTTGTTATCACAGCCCTGCTTTTGCTTCTTGCCTTAGTGTGCTTTAGATCCCTTGCTAGCCATCTGTTTGTTACTCAGAGCATGTACCCAGCCTTCCTGTACCCACTGAGCCTGAGAAATTTGGTGTTGTTCCACCTCTTGCTGTGCCTGATTCCTTCCTCTCTTCTCCTGACCCAGCACATGGCATGACTGTCAGTCCATCATCAGCCCTCACTCAAAGGCTACTTCCCTTCTTCCTTCTTCCCTCCACTGGTGGCTGTGCTCTTGGCCTGGCAGAGCTGGCACTCATTCAGCTTTGTTACTGCAGGATGTGTCTGACTGTCCAGAGCTGCTCAGGTGCAGGCTTAGCCTGTGCTCCTGGCCCTGACAGCGTGACATAGAGCACCATGGGCTGGCCTTGCATCCCTCATTGTTTATCAGCTTGCATCCTCACTGCCTGAACCATCCTTTCCTCCTTAGCTGGAGCACTGATTGGATCTGGGGAGTGTGGGATGTCCCTTTTAGCTCCACTGTCCACAAGGGACAGGTCAATGTTTGGGTGCAGCTCCTTCTGTGTGTGGAGCCTGGTGGAAGCTGGTTGCAGCCACAAACACGAGCTGCACTGGTTGCCTGGGAGCCACCCTTCTCCTGAGTGTTTGCAGATGCCTCTCTGCTGCACACCTGTCTTGGACACTCACACCCAAGGGGCAGAAACCAGTATGGTCAGGAAGAACCACTTCCTGGTGCTGGAATGGAAATTATTGTAGATTTAACAATAAAAGCAATAGTGGTCAGTGTCCCTTCTGCAGCCAAGTGGAAAAGTTACCAAGAGAAAGTTTTTCTGATTCACTTCTGTCATGTGCTTTTCCATTAGAAAGAGCAGAAAGGACTTTACACTGAATTTTGTGTTACTGTCATGACTATAGGAACCTGCACTCACTCTGAATTAATTCTGTTGTTTGTAGTTTGAAATGAGGTCAAGATCACCTCAGTTATTATTACTGTTAGCTGAGCATCTGTCCCTAAATGTAAATGTATCTAGTAAAACTCTTCTCCACCATCAACTTTGGACATTTTTCCATAACTGTTAAATCTTTCAATAAGTGTCCACAGTCCAGGGACTCCTGCTGTGATATGTGAATGAATCAGAGGCTGCTGGAATCAGGCATGGGGACAAAGACAGTGTAGAAATAGCTATTATTTAAAGGTAATTGAGTGGAATGGGCAAAGGAACAAGCTGAAGAAAAATAGAAACCCCTCAGGATATCCACGCTCTGCCTTTTACTCCGCAGCTGAGTCCCAGGTTCTTCATTGAGTAAGTCTGTTTTTCTGCTTTTCTCAAAAAAGAGCCTAAAACATGCACTTTTTCCTTCTAGTACAAAACTGTGCTCTTGTCCATTCTAATGTGAGAAAGGCTGGTCCATTTGGGTCCTCTTCCTAAGTCTGTGTTGCATATAATGTATGTTTTCTGGAAAGGAAAGCTGAATGGAAAATTTTGGATCTTGGTTCCTTAGGAAATTAAACATCTCCCTGCACACAGGCCCTGAAGAACACTTTTAGTGAAAAGCAGAGAACTTCTCAGAGCATCATAATGTGCACAAGTGGGAATGTAGATACCTACTTTTAGCTCTCTTGAATCTAGCTATGAGGAATTGACCTATTAATCAGAATTAAGGCATTTATTTAATCATTTTCAATCCTTCTAAGACTTGTATTCTGCATTGTACGACTTAATTCCCATTTCCCTTGCTCCCCCTCCCTCATTCATTGTCACTAGCACATTCCCTCTTTTTTGCCTGCAGCAGCAGAAGCAAGGTTGAGGTGAGACTGGGCTGCTTAGGTGGAGATTAGATCTTGCTTTAGTTGCACGGGCAAAACTGGAGGACTTTGGTGCTAGCTGGCTGCTGTGGAGAAAGATGTAAAATGCAGAAGACACCATAAATGGACCTAAAAGCATCAGTCTGTGTGTCACAATAAGGAAGCAGAGAAAGCAAAGGAGATTTTGCACGTTCCCAGGAGTTACTGTCAGCTCTTTGGTTACAGTCAGGTACCATTTGCTAATCTGTAGATGATTCACCTAAACCTTGAGTGTGATGTTTCTGTGTTGTGCATTACATCTGTGATATGTAACGTATAATGTGTTGCAAAATTCTTTTAGAAACATTCAGGCCATTTTGGGATTGTGTGGTTGCAGGGTGTTTTGTAATTCTGGAAGCATTATTTTTTCTTTTAATTTGAATATATTCAGAAATATTTGTTCTACCATCCATGAGAATAGAGTGGGTATTCTCTTCCAGTGCCATTTGGGATATGTAAGGAAAAAGGAAGGTGACAGTTTTTGTTGGACTGATAATCCTTTCATGGATTCTCGCCTAAGAAAAATGTGTCACCATTAAATGGGTAGGATCTGGAGTTTGAAGGTTTTTGGATCAGAGTCAAAATGCAAAGTATTTTCTGAAGTATTGTTTGAGAATAAGGTATTTCATTGATCCTGAGTGTCTGTCTCTGCCCGTGAAGGTTACAGCAGAGTTGGATGCTTGGAATGAAGATCTGCTGAGGCAGATGAATGATTTCAATACTGAGGATCTCACTCTGGCTGAGCAGCGATTGCAGCGTCACACTGAGCGGAAACTGGCCATGAACAACATGACCTTTGAAGTCATCCAGCAAGGGCAAGACTTGCACCAATACATCATGGAGGTCCAGGCTTCAGGTGAGAAGAGCAATTTGATCTCTATTTTACTTGGGGAAAAAAAGTCCCAAAACCAACAAAACAAAGCAAGAAAAAGCCCCAAAAAACGTATAGCAAGCAGAAGTCCCACAATACATATCAAATCAGCTTTTAACGTAAATGTAGGCAATACCTGTCTCTGCACAGGACTGTTCCACAAGTTTTGAGGATTTTGATTCAGGATTTTAAGTAAAAACCTGCTGTTTCTTTGAGACTGAAGCTCATTGAGGAAATGAAGCTGACTTTCAAGTTTCATGCAGGAAGTTTCACAGCTACAGTATGGAGTCTGTGATTGACTCCAAATTGGATGGAGAGGGGAGGGCAAGACAAGCTCCTTGTCCTTGCTCTAGCTCAGAAACAAACACTGCAGAGTCATGAGCTACAGATCCTTTTGCTGGGCAGTCAGACCTCAGGTTTGGATGAAGTCTAGTCGTTCTAGACTTGTTAATCTTACTGCAAATAGACTTTAGTGACAGTCAGACTGACCAGATGGCTGGCTTAATTCTCTGCAAACTCGGATATCTTTTCCCTGCTCCCCGTTTCAGGGTGCAGACAGCCCAAGGGAAGCAGAGAGACAATAAGGGAAGAAAAAATTTAGGTATACAAGAGTCCTCTAGGAAAGAATCCAAATATGAGAGTTTTGAAACGCATCATGAAATGGAAGTCTTGATTCCAGCCAGTTCTACTTGAAATTGTTTTGTGTAAAAAGGGAATTCTTCTTTTCAGAGTGCACTTAAAGATAACAACTTGGGTGTAAAAAAGCCCTTTGAGATGTGCTCTTAAGTGAAAGTCTTGATTCATTTTGATACGGAGTCTGTCTCATTTTACTGTTTCTCAGCCTAAGAGAATTTCTAATACATCCTAAGAGGCAAAATTTTTGTATTCTTGAATTTTGTATCTGTAAAAAGAATATAATAATTCATATTAATCACTGCATAAAGCCCAGAAGTGAATGTTACTTGTGTAGTGCTCTAATCTTCCAAAATGTTTTTAATGAGTGCAAAGCAAGAGCAGTTTCTGTCCTTTCCCTCGTTTAAAATAAAAAGGATTTTATGGTATTATTCTTTGGCAAACATTTTACCTCTAGGCACCTACCTTCAAAAGAATCTGGCAGTATACAGCCTGATTTGGCAGGCTGCACTCAACAGAGGCTTGAGGACTGTTTCAAGAGGATGTTGTGATCTTAATAATAGATAGGCAATATAGATAATTTGGTGCATTCTGTGAGCCATGTGTGTGAGCCTCTCTGAGATCTGCCCACACTTTGCCTGGCCCTGTACTTCAGCCTCCCGACTTTCTGAGTTAGAAAACTCATCCTAAGACACTGGTTAAGATGTTTGTGCTCTTTGTCTGTTTGGTTTTTTTCATCCTGAAGGAACCCATGGGAGGTAAAGAACATGATCCAGAACAGATGACAGTCAGGAGCCTCAGTGACTGTTTTTTAGAAAATAAAAAATTAAATAAATTCTGTGTTCTTCAAGAAGTTAGAAACAACTTCTTTTGGATTTCTGACAAAAGGTTAGCAACTCAATGAATTGACTGGTAAAATGTTTTCATAAGATTCTCTAAGATCACTTTCTATGATGCCTGCCTGATAAAAATCCACTGCTCCCAAAAGCAGGGAAGCAGAAGTCCCATGGGGATGTAGAGTAGCTGTAGTTAATCAAAGGTAATGGCCATGTCTGCTGTGCATGGAATGCCAAGTGCTGGGAGAATGGAAAAATAAGGGAGAAAGATAGTACTTGGGAGCCTACTAATTCTTATTTCAATAAAGAACAATTATACTTCATAAAAAAGTGATTTAATTTTACTCCTTCTTCCTGAATCCTTTATCATAGCCACCCAGTGCATCGGGTAGGGGATGATTGTTCTTAACTGCCAGAGCTGAACACTTGCAGGCGTTCTGGGAAATCAGCTGCTGTTGCTGCTTCCTATTGTACACTGTCGCCACCGCTACAATCAAAACTCAGCTGTAGCCACAGAAGATAAAGCCAGAAAAAATGTGATTTTCCAGAGCCATTCTACCTAACCAGCCACCTTTAATTGACCAAGTTTCTTCCCTTCCCTATAACTGTCTTTGAGCTTTATTCTTTTCAACACGCCACACAGGAAGCTGACTTGATTTTGATTACTCTGTCGTTTGTCTTGGAGGTCTTTAAGCTAGCAAGTCTGTCAGATAAAATTACATTCAGGTGCTGCCATTTATAATGTCTTTTTCACTTGGAAGCCTTGAGGAGGTAGGAAAAGAATGTTTTAGACGTTCAGCCGTGATTTTTGCATGTCTGATGCAAAATGTCTGACCCTTATTTGGCTGTGTCTGGAAATCCCTGTGAACATTCTTATGCTGGTACAATAAATCCAGTGGTTCTGTGATGCAGCAGGTCAGACTCTGGGGATATTGAGGGCACCCATACAATCAGGCATCTCTGCAAGCCCAGTATTTCCAAAGTTCCATCCAGCTCAGGGTTCCATCCAGCTCAGGGTTATGTTCCTGTGATTCCTCCCAATACTCCAGCACATGCGAGTGAGCCTGGATTAGACTGTTTTCTCTATCAGAATAAATATTTTTAAAAGAAATGTTTGGTTTTGTTAGGAAATGGGTAAGATTGGAAATCAGGTTGCATTTCATGAAATTTTGCAGTACTTGCAAATTGTTACTAAAATTTGTGTCAGTCAGGAAACATATTTGTATGTAGAGAATATTATAGTAATATTCTCAACAAGACTGGAGTTTTAATGAGCCAGCCATTTTTATTTCAAGGAACCTGACTGCTATTTTTCCTGTTTGATTTTAGCTCTACTGCTGATAGCAAAGCTAAATATGTGGGTATATACTCTCAGAAATGGTTATTGATTTTTTTGGATGCCTAACTCAATATGTTGAAGGATTCTGGTGCTTCCAAAAGTGACAACTTGGACATTTCTGAGAAATCCATTTCCCACTGAAAAGTTTAGGATAATTATTCAGGAGTGATTCAGCACTTGGGCCCAAGCTGTGGTGATGACGTGCTCAGGTAATTTATAAGCATATGCACCTTAGTTAGTCTGATTCTAAAGCAGATACACTCTATATAACTCAGCTGGTTAATTGATTGTGCAAATTTATTTGATTAATGAAGTCCACTTGCTTTGTCAATATCATTGTCATAATGAGCCCCCAGTTGGGGGTCTCTTATGGTTTACAGAGCTCCTTTTCATATCTTACACAAATTGCTTCTAAGTCAAACCTGAAATACACTGTAGAGCTGAAGCTGGGAACATTTATTCAGTCCCTGCCTGATACATGTAAAATTCAAAGGCCTTTTGCTTCCTGGTCATCAAGCTAACATTGTTCACCTCTTTTCCAAGTGTTGCATTGCTTAAAAGGGAAGCAGAAATCTATTTCATTTGCTTTGTGATGTCCTTTGTAGTTAATTATAACTGTAGTTTATACTGCAAAAAAAAAAGAGAATATAAACTTTGCTATCACAAGCTCTTAATATTTCAGCTTAAAGCATCTTTAAAGCAGTTTCAGAACAGTTTTATACAGGTTAAAAGCAATAGCCCTTCCTTAGACTGAATTGTATCTCACACTGCAAGCAGTTCAGGTGTCACTAATGTATGTTTTGCAGGGTGCCAGTTAGTGTGGCTCAGTACTCTTTCCTGTAGGATTTTTTAAAACATTTTCAATTCCATATCATTCACTTGACATCTGCTGCACCGTTTGAGGCAGTAGAAGAAAATGGCAACCAAGTTCATTTTATCAGAAAGTCAGCTGTGCTTTTCTAGCCGTCAAAACACAATGTAAAGATAATATGTATGAAATTATTCGGGAAACAAGGCTTTCTATTTTGCCAGCCAATGCTTGAGAAGAAAAAGCGCTCCCGCCGCATGTGCTGGCCCCGCAGAATAAATCTGCGTGACATATGACAAGCAGGAAAGGGCAGATCATCCATCATGGGGAGCACACACTGCCCTTGGATGGCATCCCAGGCAGTTCCCTGGTTGCTGCTGATGAGTTAGCGCGATCAGAACTGCACCAGCTGAGTGTGCGGGAGGGAAAGCTGTGCATTTAATATCCAATAGGTGTGGGGAAGTCAAGCATACAAAAAGCCATCATGTCCTCAGGATACAGAACCATATGCAGGCTAATTGCAGCAACAATGCCTGGTGTCTGGCAATTGAAAAGAACTTCAGTCCCAAGAATAGAAACATATATTAAATTTCCAGTTTTAAATGGGAAGCCAGGGGCCATTCCACTTTATTTGGTAATGAAGGAACTGTTTTGTTTTGTCTGGGAAAGGGAATAAGCCAATCATTTGCATTCCCATGTGCTTTTTTGGATAAAACTAGAAACCAAGAAAAAGGGATAGGGTTAGTAATAAGGTTGTATTTATTTTGTGCGCTGTCCTGTGTAGATACCGCTGAATCAAAGTCATGAGTCTCTGAGGAGGATGAAGAGGGAGGTAAAGACAGCTTTCTAAATTGTTTTCAAAAACAGTGTCCAAGACTTTTTTTTTCAGCAGCTTCTAATTAACACATTTCTTTGTTAATGCTGTATTATTCGATGAAATCAAATGGCTTAGGAGGAAAGTGCAATATTTTCTCGGCATTACTGCAATTGCATTATTTTTATGTTAGGCTCCTTATCCTCCCTGCTTCGAGGCCAATGGCAAAATTCCAGTAGACCTTAATAAGGGAAGAGTTTGGTCTTTCTTAGCTTGCAATCCCAGGGACTGCAGTAACATGGGATGACATCACATTTCCTCGAGGCCAAACAATCGCATTGGTGTCACCCAGAAGGAAGGTGTGAAGCTGGGCACTGCATTTCATGTGACCACTACACACAAGGCTCACAGAGTCACAAAAACATTCAGGAGGTGGGAAGGGCCTCAGGAAGTCTCTGTTTCAATCTCCTGATCAAGTCAGGGCCATGAGATCAGACCAGGCCTTTGAGGGGTCAGCAAGTTCATGTAGGATGCAGGGGAGGGGAATGTGATACTAAGAGACCCTTTCTGTCTGCTGTGTGAGGATTGGAAAAAAGTCAGTCTGTGGAATAATTCTGAATGAACTAAAGTCCGATTTCAACTAATTCATTGTTAATGAACCTCTACAGGCACCGAGATAAAAAAAAAGTTTTCTCTATGGAGTTCCCTGCACTTGAAGCACTACTGTAGATCTGGTGTCAAAGTTTACTTCCTGTATTTCACTTTTCTATTTTTTTCCTTATCTCTTTTCTCTTCCAGGTTTTCTTTCCCACATGCATTTCTAAAGTATAAGTTTATTAGTTACCCTAAGAAAGGAAGGATTTTTCTGTCTTTTTTAAAATTTGATGTTCATGCAAGTTTTTGAGCAAGACTGTGCTTAAGTCAGTCCAAGTGGCCAGATGCTGATGAGTCAGATGAGCAATGACCATCAGAGAAACACCATTTTGCAGAAAAATGTAGTGATGAAGATTAGGGAGCTGGGAAAGCCAAATATTACACGTGAGAAAGTTAAGTGAGAAAGAACTGCTCGGATAGATGCAAATCAATGTGTTAGGTGATAAAAATATTTGAAATTTACAGTTACACAAAATTGAAATTTCAAGTAAGTGCCATGATCTCTCTCTCTCTGCATGTTACAGGCATTGAGCTGATCTGTGAAAAAGACATTGATCTTGCGACACAGGTTCAAGAACTGCTGGAATTCCTTCATGAGAAACAGCATGAGCTGGAGCTTAATGCTGACCAAACTCACAAGAGGTTAGAGCAGTGCCTACAGCTCCGGCACCTCCAGGCTGAGGTCAAGCAGGTGAGAGTTTTTAACCACACATGAGAGGCTTGAGGGGGTTTTCAGCTATTACATGCATTCACACTGCTAAGCCAGTGTCTGCCAAGGGAAAAACCTTTAGGTGGGCAGTCTAAATCCCCCTTTCTTTAACAGTACTTGATTTGCTGGCAGGTTACAGGATGGCCCTTTGCAAATAAGAAGGGGTTCTGCTCTCCCAAGTGTGCATGGTTTTGGCTTCATGAGTAGTTCTGGGAATGCTGTGCAGAACTGACCATGAAGCTTCTCAACTGGAGAAATGGCCTCAAACTCCAAGTGTTCTGGGAATATAATTATTTGATTTGTGACCCAGACTTAAGCTGAGGTGGAGAATAGGCCCAAAAGAAAGGAAACTGAGCTGTGAGGCCTAAGTATGACATTATGGTAGTTTCACCTTTTCATTTATTGTTATGCATCTGTTGTCTTGCAGAAAACTTTAACACCTTCTGGTGATTTAAAAAATTCTGTCAATGGTCTCTAGATCCCAAACCTTGTTTAGGCATCTTAGTATTATTGCACTGCCTTTCTTTTAAATTTCATCCTAGCATAGGCAGTAATGTTCTGCCTCCCTTGGTTTTTCCTAATATTTAAGTTGGATGCCTCATGTTTCTTTGTTTTCCTTTGCTGCACAGGATAATATTACGCTTCCTGCTTCCTATCCATAGATAGCTTCACACTGTATGTCTGTCTTTTAAGTGAATGTTACTCTAGACATCTGAAATATTCCGTTTTCTGTTTTACCTATACAAATAGGTGTGTTGGGGGGTGGTGTTGGGAGGAGCATCCAAATGCTGCAAGGTGTTCATGAAAGATATCTGCTCATTTGTTTACTTGTACACATACACACACTCTCTGAATGCTCAGTACATATGATCACAAATATTCACTTTTGGAGACAGAATAACTGAATTGCTTTATCATTGTTGGAAAAAAAATCCTTCACACTCAGAAAAATGGCAGCACTAACAGCAGTGCATACATTTTCTTTTGAAGTCTTCTTTGATGTGAATATTGTGCAATTCTACCTAAAAGTAGCATAGAACTCTCCTAATTATTATTTTTAAAATATGGTCATTTTGCATTTGTGGTTATTGAAGATCAGCTCCTCATGAAGTTCTGGGGCTCTGTAGACTGCTTAGCTTTTTTCTGAAAGAAGAAAACAAACCAAGCAAAACCCAGAAACACACTATGATATTTATAATCACCATCTTAACATGATTATGAAGTATATACTTCCTTTTCTGTAGGCTCCTGAAGTTTCTTATACACAGCTTAGCTAAGCTTGGAGTGTTTGTGATAGGTTTCTGATGAAGCAGAGCCATTTTAACTTATGACAGAAAGCAGAGAGGCGTTACATGTGTAGCAGAAAGGCTAAAGAAGCAGGTTGCCCACTTGCCTGAGATGAAGTGCAGTCAGCCCTGTGGCTGCTCCTGCAGCCATTCAGTGGCAGTGCAGCACTATCTGCAGGTAGCTGATGTTATTTACCTTATTATCAAATATCTGCTGGTCCTTACAACTGAAATCTACCCAAAGGAAGTGATTATAGGGCTGAGCTAATACTTACTGTGAGAGAACAGCTACCTTGAATTAGTATTTCCTTAACAGAGCTTGGGACCATCAGACCCTTTGTTATGTGACCTCTCAGCACACCAGTAGTGAAAAAATATTATATTTGCTCAGCTGAATGCTAAGCACCCCTTTAGGCTTGTTAACCTACAAATTACCACAGCTCTTCCTTAGAAAGAGGCAAGTTAAAATATTTCTGTGTCCTATCTATTTGGTTTCCTGTAGATGAGTCATATTCCCAACCATTTAGTGAAATTGGGAAATGTATTGATTTTGGCTTGTAGTTCATCTCCAGTCTAGTCCAGGTTTCCTTCACTTTCAGTTCAGTGCATCTGAGAGGATGGATGAGCTCATTACCAACTTGCTCTTTCTCTTGTGAATGAGTTGAGATGTGGTTGTTTCAAGACACCTCCTATAGCTGTGTTAAGTTCTGCTGACAGAGTAAAATTGGTCAAAGCTGCTACATGTACATGTGTTTGCATTTTGATATAATGGCTCATGGAAATAAAAAGTCTTTTAACTGTCTCTATCTATTTAAGTTTCATTTACCAGAGATTTCTGTTTTATGTCATATGCATCAAGGTTTGAATGCCAAGACAATGAATTGGAGTTTGAGGCCATTTAAGTGGAACAATTCCAAATGAGATGTTCTGTGAACTGCTTTAGAGCAGAAATAGTAAAGATCAGTAATTCACAAGGTCTTTGTTATTTAGAAAAATTCTGCCCAAGCCTGATTTTCCCTGATTTAGATCCTACTCATTTCTGACAGACACTATAGAGCTTGTACTGCTTACGTGAAGGTAATAGCAGAATAGATTTGTGGAAATCAGTTTTAAAAAAACAAACTCTGATGCTGTGCCTGCAGCTGTTTGGCTTCCCTATCCCCTTAATTTATCTTTGTATGGTTTAGGCTTTTTTTTTTAATAAGTGTTGAACTAGACCTAATTTGCTCCAAGATATCCTCAAGATGTCCCACTATACTTGCTTTCCAGGTTGTTTTGAAATATATTTAATCCTTTTGATGTGCCTGTTATCCATCTGTTTTTGCTGTTTGAAGCATTAGATTTGTTTCAAAATACATATGCCCAAGGGATGATGGGAACTAGTCATTTGAGAGACACTGAATATATCTGGGTTTCTTTTACTAATCTAATGTCAAAAAGCTCCTGGAAAACCGATGCAGTTTTAACATGGTTAAAATTACCAGAAGCTATCCTTGATGACTGTGTCTGTGTTAGTAAAAGCTTCTGAAGGAAGCTGCAAAGGGTCTGGAGGTGTTAAAAAAATGCCTTAGATTGTTTGGTCTTTTAAACTTAAAAATCTTTTTTTATCTGACTGGACAGGTATCCATAGCAAGGCCTTAAGTCTTTTTTAGAAACATGAAGGAAGGCATTCTGACTAAACTGAGAGGTAGGCAAAAGCACTGCATGGTACAGAGCTCTCATTTCTTAAGGATGGCTGAACATGGGGTGCCTCAAGCTTTATTTTTCCTGTAGAGTCTGAGTCTGTGCTCAGTGAAGGTGGCAGAGTTCCAGGGAAGAAATTAGGAGTTTTAGAAGAATTTGGTACTCTTATTTAATTACAGAGAATCCCTGTACAGGAGCGTAGCCTCTCTAAAGCAGATTGGAGTCAAAGGTGGGAGTTGTTTCAGAGTTGTGGTGGTTGCTCTGTTAAACAACCCATGCCTTGCAGTAAAACTGTTCTCCAGTGACAAGTGGATTTTATATAAGATCCTATAAAAGTGTTTCTGCTTCTCTGTTATAAAAAATTGTTAGGATGTATAAGAAAGTCTTTGAAGATTTATTTAACTCCAGAATTATTTAAGCACTGCTTCTACAAAGCTAATAAAACCTGTAATTTGTAGGAAATGTCTGTTTAAAGCTATCTTTTTGGGTTGGCCTGTCTGCACATTGCTAAAAAATGGTGAACCTATTAATACAGGAAATGATCATAGAAGTGCCTTGGTGCTGTATTAGGAGCTTTTCTACGTATTTTAATGAAAGGATATTATGCACTATATGAGTAGGAGTCAATTTGTGAGCAGGTCTTGTAAACCAGATACAGATGTGTAAATGCCTGTTCCCTTTTCTAAACCAGAGACATGAGGAATGTCTCTGCAAGGGTTTTGAACTTCGGCTTAAGAAGCTTTGGTTGTGCAACTGAATTTTTTTCCTTACTGTATGTAAACAAAACAAGTAAGAGAGAAACATTTCTATGAATATAGCTGATGCAAATACCAGATGAGGCTCTAACATTTACGTGCCAGACTTCTGGAAGTAGAAAGGGGTCACTGTGTAAATGCTTCCAAGTAAAATTTGCTAGTGCTTGACTGTTCCTTGGGCCTGAAAAAGGGAATGTAGGAACCCCAGAATGGGTGTCTGACCCCACACTCTGGGGAAGGAGAGGGGGCAGCTACTCAGGGGTGGCAGCAGCCTTGGTCAGGAGCAGTGCTGGCAGCACTTCTGGCACATAAAATCCATCAGTCCACCTAAACTGCTTTCTCCTGGATAATTTGAGTCTGCAAGACACTTGTACAGAGGGATGAATATGTGTTGTTAACACAAGAGAAAATGTGGCAGACTGGTTGTGTGGTCTCTCTAATCAAGTTACTTTGTTTTAAGACTGAGTTTCCATATATTTTTTTTCTGGTGTTTCACTATTTGGAGGCTCAGATATTTGTGTGAAATCTGTGTCAAACTGTCTGTGGCAGTTTTTGAAAAAATCAACTGAAATGAAAGCTGTTCCACAGAGGAAAAAAGTGCTGTATTTTTAGCTTAAACACTCAGTATTTTCTACATTCCAAATGGTCCAAGGCAGGGTGTATTGCAGTATGTAAAACATGGAAGCATGTCTTGCCTCATGATGTCCTCAATTCAAGCCTTTCCTAGGTATAGTGATTCTTTGGTTAACTTCAGAGTTTGGTACCATGTAGTTGGTAATAATGCAGGGTTCAAGTCTGATGGATTATAGAAAATGCCAGACAATACAATTTCCATGATAACTCAACTGCTTTTCCTTTAAACATGTGATTTATTTCCCACAGGAACAATTATACCTGCTGATGAAAGAGAAACAAATGAAATTAAATCTTCCACACTGTTGTACTGAGCAGAATGTAATTTTCTACAAATTAGGGTCAGCTACATGTATAGATATCTCCCTTTTTTCTCCTAGGGAAAACTAATTTTTTAGCCTGCAGGGCACTGGATAGCACTAAGTAGGGTGATACATGATGCAGGGATGAAAAACAAAGCAACAAAAAATCACTGTTTCCTCCAGGCAATTTAATGGATCACTTGTAGAAAATGATAGTACAAAAGGGAAATTGCTTTGTAGACTATTGCAGCACAGTCAATTTTGGAAATCATGAGCTAAATTTAGGGCAGTGATTTAGCAGTCAGGATTTCCTCTGCATCTCTGAACAGGACTCATCAACTTTGTGGCTTTACTGGACTAACTTGATACCTCCATAGGTAGAAAAAAAGGCTTTGAGACAGCACAGGGAAGAACTTGCATGTCTGTTCTGGGTGCTAATTTCCTTAACACGTGTCTTAAAATAGCAGAAAATTTTGCTGCTTAAATGAGTGAGTACAAACTTGATGGATTAATTATGTACATTTAGGATGAGATTCTGCAGTCATTACAGCATAGATTGCATGTCTGCAGATTATTTTAACATGTCTGAAGGAAAGCCTCTTGATTAAATACAAAATGCAAGATTTGACATTTTTTTCCTAGCTCTTTGTGCAGGTGGAAACTCCAACTGCATCTAAACTCCATGCCAAATGAATTCAACTGTGTCCTCTCTCTCCTTCCCCCTAAGCTCAGACTTTTGTGAAAGACACACAGGCAAGTGAAGCAGAAAGGAATTGCAACATCTATGATTCCAGTCAGAAATTTGAAAATATGTTTAAATTCAATTCCCCCTCATTATGCTTTGTGGTTTTGCCCTGGGGTATTTGCATAGGGGCCCATTCATTTTTGTGACCAAACCTTGAAAATGAGTACTCTTTGCTATCCAAATATACTTGTAAAGTGAGTTTAATTCTTCAAGCAATAACTTTTTCAATAAGATCTTTGCCTCCTAAAACTGTGTGTCATTAAGACCTTATGCTAGGATTTCTCTCTGCTCATTAATTCAGCTGAAGACCGCACTTGTTGTTCAGCCAGGCTGAAGCATTTTCTGATAGGTGACTGCATCGACTCTGGTACTGAAGCAACCTTTCAATAAGCACATCCTTTGTTTGCAGGTGCTTGGCTGGATCAGGAATGGGGAGTCAATGCTCAATGCGAGCCTTGTCAATGCCAGCTCTCTCTCGGAGGCTGAGCAGCTCCAGCGAGAGCACGAGCAGTTCCAGCTGGCAATAGAGGTAACACCAACAAGTTAACTTTGTTTCTCCTTCCCAGGTGTACAGCAGACAAAAAGTTCTCATGGACATCAATCATTGCTTTCTTGAAGGAAGGGGAGGAATAGAGGCTTTAGAAAATCAACTTATCACTAAACTCATAATGTAGCCAGAGGCTAACAGTGGAACAAATTATTTATTACCTGCAGCTAATTCTTCTGCTGACAGATATCAGCTTCTCCATTCATGGAAATGACACTCGGGCATCTCCTGATAATTTCTTTGATAAAAAATGAATAAGATTAAAATTCATAAAGTGATCTGCAATGGGAAAAGTTTGTCAAGTCAGTGTCTTTCCACATCCACATTTTTCAGGTCATTCCACAGCATTCATTTGTGAATATTTTTTTACTGGATAATGCTCTCGCACTAAATGCGTGAGAGCATGATCCAGTATCTTTCATTCAGCTTTCTTTTCATGAACACCAGAAAAGAAATTCATTCCAACCCTCATCCTCAAATAAATTTGACAAAGAGGCAAGAGGGGAAAATTTTAAGAATTGACTCCTAAACTGCTTTTCCCCCTTCTTGCTCTGGAGTAACAATGCATCTTTAACCTGGCCATGGGAAACTGATTGTGAGCCAACCCATTTGCCTCACTCACAGGGCTGGGAGGAAGAGCCCCTGCTCTGACCAACTTTCCTTTGATTGAGAGGGTAGTGAAGGGCTAAGGTCTGCCCTGAGCAGGGCACTAAAAGATTCCTAATTAAGCTCAGTGCGTCATGAATCTCTGCTATTATGAGCAAACCCTATACTCACAGGGTGTGCTCACATCAGTTGCTAGAGAGGTTGCTTTCTAGCATTGCTTTTTCCTGTTCTGGCTTAAAAGGTGTGTCTGCTTCCCAGATAATATTAATTGTTAGCTTTTTACAGAGAAAAGAACAGCTGAAAAATATTCATCTACTTGAAAACTAGACCAGCCTTAAAATTCTGCAAGTATGGAGATTTGAAGAGATGCCTGACTGAGGGTGGGGGGAAGAGGAAGGGATGTCTCCTGATAAACTTGAAGTCAGTCAATATACATTACTGTGATGCTAATAAGGATAGAGTTTAAATCTCAGCTGATGACTTATTTTGATCCAGCTCTGCTCAGAGTAAGGAAGGAACAGCTGTTGCAGCTCCTAAAGGAAAAGGAAGAAGTTTTTTATCAATTCTGTAGAGCTGGTTGGTACCAAGCTGTGTTGATCACATCTTGGCAGCTACCCGCAGACAGCAGTGGGGAGGAAGACACCCACTCCTGAGTTATCCCAGTTTCTGACATTGGGGAAGTGCTTGCATTTGGTGGTAAATGCAAATTGCAGAGGGAGAAGAGGGTTACACCACAGTAAGGGGAAAGTAAGTTTCAGAAAGAAAAAACACTAGATTAAATATTTAAAGTATTTAAAGCTCAGTATGGGAAAGAGACGAGCAAAACACACAAAGCAGATTCTTCTCTAAAAGCATTCTAGATGTGGAATTGATTTTCAGTTGAAATCCTTTGAAGTCTATTTCAAACAAGTATTACAATTCTGACATCAGTAAAACAACTGGATATTAAATTTTACCAGTTGTTCTTTAACATCTTTCTAAGTTTCTGCCAAGTATTAATCCTTTTTGTTTCCTAGTAGCTTTCTCTACATTACATTATTCATCAGTGTATTACTAGATGATTTCAAGCTTTTTTCCAGGTTCATGGCTTAGATCATACAACTATCACATGAGAATTTGTCAGCAGCAGTTATAAATGGGACATAGCACAGAGGAGCCTGAGAGATTTTAGGGCTTCTGTTCAGAAGATTAAAATCAAATACTGGACTTAATCATGTCTGAACACAGTTACTCAGGAGGCTGTGAAGGGATGGGGGCTATTTTAGCAGCCCACAGGGGAAGACGTAACCACCACTTGCGAACTGAGAGGAGCTGGTATAGGCTGAGGAATGGGCCAGATAACTCAGTCCTGCCTGTAAAGTGGCTACTGAGCAAACTGGGGAATGGTGGAGGCAATGGTTTGACTCTCCCCAGCTCTGACCTTAAAGGTAAGAGCACAAGTCTGATCTCCAGTGTGCATGAGCTGACTTTGAGAAATGCATCTTGTAGGGGCTGCTACTTGTGATAAAGTTCATGCCCTTTAGTAAGACATCTTCATGTTTTCTAGGATTGATGTTTTGAACAACTGCACTAGTAAAGCTGCTGATGCCAGGTAAACTGCCTGGCGAGAGCCAAATTAGGATGATCAGGCCCGTAGTTTGCCAACTGTTTAGAGTTTGGTTTTGGGCTGCAGGTAGTGTGGGGTGCAGTCAGCACTGAGGCTGGCACTGAGGCAGGAGCTGACCAGTGGAGCCAACCCATCTTAGCAGTGCTTACATGTTCCAAGCTTTATTAACGTGTTGCAAATGTGTGTCAATAACTGAAACTAAAATGCTTTGCAGAAAGTGACTGTTAACCCAAGGTAACTCTGAAAATGTTTCACTCTCTCGCATCCCCATGCTCTCGCCTCGCTTCACCTTTCTATCATACATCTGGCACATCTGTACAACCTCTCTTTCCTCCCCTCATACACAGTCCCTCTTTCATGCCACTTCCTTACAGAAGACACACCAGAGTGCCCTGCAGGTCCAGCAGAAGGCCGAAGTGTTGCTGCAGGCTGGACATTACGATGCCGATGCCATCAGAGAATGTGCCGAGAAGGTGGCCCTGCACTGGCAGCAGTTGATGCTGAAGATGGAGGACAGGCTCAAACTTGTCAATGCCTCGGTGGCCTTTTATAAAACCTCTGAGCAGGTGAGCTGGACACGGTCATTTCTGGGCCATGGCAAGCCAAGTCTGAATCAGTAAAAATTCTTTCTTTGACAAGTAACACCAAAAAGAACCGAGACTCAAACCAAACAAAACATAACATAACATCCTTCCCCCTGAAAAAAAAGAGACAAAGAGCAGCATGAAGTTTTTAGTAACTTTCATCCTAAAGTTTTCAGTGTAGCAATGTAATTTATGAAGGTGCTATTTTTGTTGGGTTTGTTTTTCAATTTAACCCTTTCAAACAGGAATAATTTTTGAAATCCCACCACTTTTGTTTCAAGTTCTCATGATACTTAGTTTTGAGAAATATAAATCTGCTTTTCCTTGAGAACTGCTTGCAATTACTTTATTGTTACTTTGTGAGCCAATGTTTTCACTAGTACTTAAATACAACCATGCCAAAGAAGATGCCAAGATTGGAAGGAATTTTTCTTAAATCCACCTGCAACGCAGATAATTACAGCAGGAACCCATTATATGCTAACACAACTCTACTTCATTCCAGGTGTTCATGAATTGCAAAAAACATTCCAGTTGGCTGCTGGCAGGGTGGGATTATTCATCCCTTGCACAAGCAGGTGCCCTTTATACTGTAGTCAGTGAGAATTAGTGTCACAGTGTGGCTACTCGAGCAGCCTAGCCTGATGTCAATTACTGCAGTCAGGCAGTTGGTGTTAGCAGGGACACTGCAGGAACCTGTGGTTTTACACAAAAGGCAGCAGTGATTGCCAGGACATTTTCTATTGTTATTGTCACACAGTGAGATCCTCAATTAGAGAACCAGACAGGGGAAGATTTTTAACACAACTAGATAATTCATTAGGGAAAGAGTGTACTTTTCCTTAACTTGGAGGCTGTAGATGATCCTTGGGCCACTTTTTGGTGTAATTTGTTTAATGTATTTTTAAGACAGTTTAAGAGGAATTCATTCCTTATAATTAATATATATCACTGAGAAGAGTTTCAAACAGATTTACAGTCCCTGATGCATTCAAGACCAAAATGAATTACTACTGATGGAGGAGTGTGAGAAATGAAAACTGTTAGGGGATTCATTAGAGCTTTAGACAGTTAAATGTGCTGGCCAAAATATGCATTGCCAGTAATTTATCAGTTCAATCTCTTCCTGTTTCCAAGTCTCGGATAAGCATACTGCAGTGCCCACCAGTTCATTCATTGGTTGTGTCTATTCAGCAAATGTGTAGGGCAAAAATAGTTCAGTCTTTGAATGCTCATGAACTCATGCTGCAAGCCTGTCATCTTCTCTTGGGCTGCACAGCTGATCTACAGTCCTTAAGGGTCTGCTCCCTGACTGCCTGACAGTGGAGTGAATAATTTACTGGATCTTGAATGCTCTGAGTATCTAGAAAAAGGAGCTAAAAGGACAGGGAGAGTGTCACATGCAGCCAAACTTTTTCATGCCTGTCTTCCCCAAGTATATTATGTTCTTGATATCAGTGGTGAAATCCTGGATTTCAAATAACCCAGTTTCTCTCTGACTTCATTGACAGCCTATTTTATATTCACTTCTCTCATCACCCTAACAGAAAAACGGTATTTGCCTGTGCAGGGACAATTCTGGAAATATGTGAGTCCCAGGCAGTCCATTTATTTTCATTCTTTAAGCCACCAAAGTCCAATAGAATGTCAAGGTTTTCAAGAAGTAAAATGGAAATGCTTTTCTGTGCCTAAATAACACCTGAAGCACTTGCTCTTCACTAAACTGAGGTTGAATGCTGGTTTGCATCCAAGCAAGAAGATGATTTCAGATTGCCAAGTGCATGAGGTCCTTGCATAATGCATAGTGAATAAGCCTGGCAGCAGGATCAGTTACCAGCTCACCTTAGCTTTAAAGGGGACTTAAAAGTGGACTTCAATGTGCTGTTGATCAGATTTATATGAAAATGGCCTGTGATACTGGGGATGACTGGGGAGTAATTCTGGAGTCTCCTCCAGACAGTGCTCTTAATCACATGGGGTCCCCTGAATTACAACTGTGTTCATACTAAAGCTGCAAGAATGAGCAAGAAGAAGATGGACATTGCTACCTGGATCCCAACAATAACTGACTGGGTCATCTCAGCTCTGGAGTCTGTAGGAAGAGCCCTCGGGGAAAGAAGAAGAAAGTTCCAAATGTCCTGGGAAACTTGCTGTGTCTGCACAGGCCACTGAGAATATTCTCAGGATCTACAACATAAAAGACTCAGCCTTGTCTGAGGAAAATGCCTAATTTCCAGTGTTGGTTAATTTACCTCATTTCCATTGTTCTATTCTACCAAGACAGAACATGTGTGTGTGAGCCCTGTGCAATGGAGACCTGCATCCAGCTAGATTGTGACCCTGATTTAAAGTCTATTGGTTTCCATCAGCCTTTATAAAACCTGTATAGGGAGCAACTCAAATGCAGCTGAAGAGAATTAGTTCCAGCTTCAGACTTTGTTTCAGGAAAGTATTTAAGCCTGTGCTTTTCTTTAAGTATGTGTTAAGTCCCTTGACTTCAGTAGGATTTAAACGTTCTAGAATAGGGATTGTTTCCTGAATCATTCACTGGGGCTGGACTGACCCTTCCTTAATTCAGCCTTTTGTGTTTCCTCCCATTATTCATTAGAAGAGAAAAATTATTTATCGGCCTTAAACCAGATAAATTGTATCCCAAATAATAAAGATCGCTATGGGTAAGAAAAACACCCAGATCATTCTGTCTAGGGCCTGTTTTATACCCAGTTACCCCCATGCTGTGGCCCATAGTACAAAAAGGAAATGTCATTGGTCATAGACTTGTATTGAATGTTCTACTCCTGGTTATGATTGTGGCTAACTGAATTGCCGTGCTATGGACTTGTTTCAGGTGTGCAGCGTGTTAGAGAGTTTGGAGCAGGAATACAGACGGGATGAAGACTGGTGTGGAGGCCGAGATAAACTTGGACCAGCAGCTGAGATAGACCATGTCATCCCTCTGATCAGCAAACATCTGGAACAGAAGGAGGCTTTTCTCAAGGTCTAATTTTAGTTCTCTAATAAATCAGGAAAAGTCTCCATTAAGTAGACAATTTAGAGCAGTGTTGGTAAGTTTGAGAGGAGGCTCTGCTGTATAATTCCAGTTCAGCTACTGGCTGGCTTTATAAACCCTAGGCCAGTTTTACTTTGTTATAGCAAGGGTAATGAGCATTATTATCAATACATATCTCAGAGAGATGCCATCAAGACCAATTAGGTGGTGTTTGTGCTTGCAGGATGCTAGTTGTGCTGGTTCAAAGTTCAGTTCTTAAAATTGCACCATAAATGACAGGTATTATACATCATTTTGGTGTTGGCTTGTACAAACCATCCAGCATTTCAAATTTTGTCCTCCAAGCCAATAACTGAAGAACTAATAGTAATTGAAGCAATTTTGTCTCTGCAAAGCAGCACTAGGATGGAAACAGAGATTTCTTCCAGGTGCTGCTTTGGAAGAATCAGGGATCTCCCAGGCTGAAAAATGAAATGTCAGCCAGCCTCTCACGTGCCACTAAAACAGATACACAACATGAAACTACACTTGCAGTCAAGACTTAAGAAATTACACCTCTAGATTTTTACATTTTTTGAAACAATGAGTACTTTTCTTTAGAGATGGGTTAGATTTGGTTAGACAGAAAATGTGTGAGGTGCTAGTTCTTAACAAGCAGTTGTTTTATTACTTTGCCTTAAAATTAGCCACTATATTCAATATTACTCATGTTTTAATACATCTGTGAGACTGTTAGTTTATTAGCTGAGTTTATTGACTCTTAGCTGAAATTCTTATCTTCTCCAATGAAAGAGAACTCCTTGTAGTATAAGCAAGAACTCCCTTGGTCCCCTTTGCTGTCTTTGCTCATCTTTACTGATTCTTTTTGGTGGGGGCTGTTCTTCCTAGGCCTGTACCCTGGCCCGGAGGAACGCCGAGGTGTTCCTCAAGTACATCCACAGGAACAACGTCAGCATGCCTGGAGTGGCGAGCCACACCAGAGGGCCCGAGCAGCAGGTCAAAGGTTGGTGCACCAGAGCACTGAAGGTCTGGTTTGCCTCCCCCTCTGCAGGGTGCTCCTCCTGCAGTCTGTGAATGTGCTCAGAAGGCAAACTCTGTCCTAGCATCATTTCCTTTACCAGATCACTCCGCAACTATATGTGTTTTGTGGTGGTTTCTTGTGGATGCGGTCTGAGGGTTTGGTTTTGGGGTTATTTGAAGCAGCCCCTTTGAATCAATGCTTGTTTTTAAGAAGTGTGATTTTGGGCTCTCTGCTTTTGGGAACAAGGTCCAGGCAAAGTGATTCAATTCATCGTTTCACAGCTTATTTCTGAATGCACTCAAGGAATCCCTAGTGATGCAGATGTTTTCCTTTGCCCTGCAGCCATTCTGAGCGAGCTGTTGCAGAGGGAGAATCGGGTCCTTCACTTCTGGACCCTGAAGAAGCGGAGATTAGATCAGTGCCAGCAATATGTTGTCTTTGAGCGCAGTGCCAAGCAGGTAGTGTGAAAACCCTACCCTGTCCTTCTGTCCTGGCAATGTGTAAAATCTCCATGTAGCACCTCTGTGTGGGGCTCCTGTGGCAATCTCAAGTTGTGTTTAAACACTGTTACTTTTGAAAACATGGCAAATGTAGGTTTTAAAACAACTTAATACAATTTCAAAACCCAACAAGATTCACTATTTTTCTTACCTCAGATTAATTTCTGTACTTGTTCATTTGTTTGAAAGTAAATATAAGAGCAAACTTGTTTTATTGAGCTGTTTCTGAATGAGAGAACTGTTTTTCCTGCAACTTATATAGGTAGAATTCCCTACACTCTTTTTTGTCCTAGGAAACACAGAGTACCACTTTGTATCCTTTCCCACCTGCTTTCATTATTTTATTCTTTTTATGTGTTCCTAGACAGTGTTTTAGTATACAGGGTATTAAGTCCCAATGCATTTGATATTCTTATTCTGGCAGGTTTGTTTGTTTTTTTTGTCAGAGGATTACTTCTTGAAATACAAAAATTGTTTATTTTGTTTTTGCTTTGGTGTTTTTGATATTCACAGGCCTTAGACTGGATCCAAGAAACAGGCGAATATTACCTCTCTACTCACAACTCCACAGGGGAATCAGCAGAAGAAACTCAGGAGCTCCTGAAGGAATATGGGGAATTCAGAGTACCTGCCAAAGTAAACAGTTCCTTTAATCTAATTATGCCATCTGCTTTAGTCTGTATTTATGGTCCTGTTTCAATACCTTAAATATCTGTAATAATATTCTCTTGATTTTATAGTTGCCCTCTAAAAATTCCTAGTCCTGAAGACAAATGACTTTTGAGAATTTTTAGCAAGATATAAACACGAAAAGGAGGTTTTTTCCACCTTGATTAGTAGTGGTTATAGAAAATTTCTGCTCCAATCAGAAGGAAGAGAAAGTCCATTTTCATAGAGATTTCACAGCAATCTAATAAGACATTCCATCCTCAAACAATCACTCCAGAATGGCATAGAGTGACTAATTGATCTGAGAACATCCAAGGTCATAATGGACTCCTGGTCTCTTTCTTCTGTCATTAAAACCACAATTTGTCTCACTAATTCCAGTTGGGTTGATCACAGATGATCATTTATCTCATTAGAAATAATCTGCTGATCCCACCAAAGTACTTTAAATAGATGAGTCTTTAAACTCCGGGGTGAACATTTTTGAATACAAAACTGCATTACCAAGAATATATTAATTTATATGGAGCAATTCTGGGAAATCTGGTGGGGTTTACGCAGGAATGGTGATTGGATCTGCTTCAGACAAATTAATTCAAACCATGGGTAATTTATAGACAGTGAATCCACAGGGGTATTAACAGTCTTTGATAAGGATGTAAATTGCAGAGTTGGACTGCAGGAAGACCATGGCTTTGGCATTATGTAGCTGCATTTAACTGTGTCCTGAAATTGATCTTCTATAATCCTTAAATTCCTCCTTAGGCTGTCCATGCTTGTATGGGTTTGATTCACATGCTTTGTGGTGTTCTTGTCCACTTATTTTAGCTTAGCTTGCATGTTTCTGAAAACATGAGATAACTAGCAGTGGATGGAAGGTAATTTCTTCAGACAGGACACATATGACATTTTTTTAACTACTTCTGAATTCTAGCCATGCATAATTACTCTCCCTAAAATTACATTCTGGTTCATAATTTTTTATCAGAATAATCCAAATTCTTAACACAGTTTCCAAATCGTTTGGACTCTTGACTTAGCCTAGGATTGAATTTTAGATGTTGTTCATTATTAACCATTACTGCCTCTTTCTTTCACTGGCACATCTAAGTCTTGCTCCCTTGGGCTGTTCTACAGCTCCTACTGATGACGTAGAATATTTTCACTGCCATAGGCAATCTGGTAAATGCATGTCATTCCCAGACTGATGTTATTCTCAAATTAAGCTGTAGCTGAAAGTTTTCCTGATCCCAGTAACTTTCTGGCCAAACCAATTGTTTGGAATGCAAAACCACCAGTAGCTTTTGGGAAAGATCACCCTGTAAATACTACAGGAAGTTAGATTTTTACATCACCATACCTAGCCTTGCCTAGGTACCCATTTGATTTGTTAGGATGATGTCTGATTCAGCTCTTAATCTATTATGGTGCTGAAAGTTCTTTAATTTAGCTTCATGTTGAAATCTGCTGGATGTTTTCTGGTGTGGTTTGTCCATTTGTGGTCTGATCACTGATAATGTCAAGTATCTGTCAGTGTGTCTTGCTTCAGGCATGGTGGAACATCCTCTCTGTCTTTGACAACAGGCTTGCCAGTGCCTCATTTCCTGGGATAGATTTGGAATTACAGCTAACTAGTTTATAACTATGTCCTTTGGGCCAGTTTTGAATAAGGGGCTGTCAGGGCCTAAGTGGAATAGAAAACATCTCTGGGAGGTTTGGGGGTTCACTGTGTTCTTTGGAGTTCAGGCATCTTTTAGCTGGTTCTAACTGCACCTAAAATAAATACTGGTGGAGTGTGGTGGCCCACAGCTGGCCTGGAGGCCTCACAGTTATAAACAATCCCAACTTTATAATTGAAATGTGATTGATTATATAATTACCTCGCTTATGTAACTGGAGCAGTAAGGCCCGTTGGAGACAGGCCCAGGCCGTTGGGGATTCGGGCTGCTATTGGCTGGCTGGGCCGGGTGGCGACTGGCTCAGCCAATGGGGATTGACCACACGTGCCTTCCGGTCTATATAAGAAGAGGTCCCAATAAAGTTGCTGCAGGACCTTTGGATGTGTTTGCCGCTGTCCTGCCTTCGATACATCACTGTGACATCTGGTGAGCCCCAAAGTGATTTCAACAAGCCCCCGTGTGTAGAGCAGAGGAGGCAGGAAGGCAGTGGGAACAGCTGTCTGCAGTGTGCAGAGCTGCTACCCGTGGCGTGTAGAGCCACGGAACCCCGGCAAAGGCAGAGTGCAGAGCTGCAGAAGACGCTGTGGAGAGCCGTGTTTGGGTCCAGACTCCCTCCCTCTTTGGGGAATTAAGAAGCCACTGGGATGGGAGCATGTTGCTCTACAGCAGAGAAGCCTACCCTACAGGTATGGACACCTTTGCTAAAGAAATGTGGTCTAAAGTGTGACAACCGGGCTCTAACTGCCCTGCTAATGTGGTGCAAAAACCAGAAACTGAATGTGACTGAAAGTGTCGCTTTAGATTTTAAAACATGGGACCAGGCTGGCAGGCTCATACTTCAAGCAGCTGCTATTGGAGACGAGGCTGCCATTGGCATTATTAAGCCTTGGAGACTCAATGGACCTGCTAAGGCAGCTACAGGAAGAGCAGAACGCAAGGGCAGAGGAGGAGGCACTCACTGGGTGAGGAGAACCAGGCATTGGGAGAGCAGGCAGCGTGGCCACCGCTCTGGGCGCACAGTGAATCAAAACGGCCACGTGGAACTGAGCCATCATGCCAGGACGCCTCTACCATAGAGCACACTGTGGCCACTAGAAACTGCCTTGTCCCATGCCAGGAGGTACAGACAGCAGGACCCAGCCTGGTCACCCCAGAGTGGAACCTAATCATGGAATAGCTGTGCCTAGCGCTGGAGCTGATTCATGGATGGATCCCAGAAATACATCACCACAGGTCCCCATACCCAGCAAACATCATACCCAGAAGCAGTGGTGGACCACAGGGTCTGAAAGTTGGTGCCACATGCACTGCTAGCAGAGCTGGAGTTACCCGTGTAACACCTACTGGCTAGGGGCACCAAAAGCCAGAGCCACCATTTTTCTGCAGACCCCTGAGACAAAGCCATCATCAGTACAACACCAACAGCCGTGCCTGATCCAGTCAGCATTTGGCACCAAGTAAAGCTAGCAGTGATAGCAAGTGGGGATTATGAAGCTGCAGAAGTGATTGATGTGCCGTTATCGGGAAGTCAGCAACTGAATATGGCACAATTGAAGCATACCTGGTAATAAGGGGTGGTGGAAAAACACTGGATAATTATGCAGCTTTTCAATGGCCAGTTCATTCAGAACTGCATCAGCTTGTAGCCAAGTACGGCCTGGGCTCACCTGCTGTCACCAATATGCTGCGGTTTATAACAGAGGAGGTTACTCCCTTTGATATTAAACAGTCTTGCCAAATAATGTTTACAACAGTCCAATATATGGTCTTTGAGTCAGCATAGCGACGCTGTGCAGAAAAACAGGAACAAAGAAACCTAAAGGTCCCCTGAGAAGACCCATGAGGTTTATGAGGTTGAGTTCTCTCAGCTTTTAGGACTACCATCATTAGCTTGTCCTTGGCTCCGAGCCAGGCTGGATCCACCAGTGCTGGCACAAGTAAAGGATTTGGGGATGCAAGCATTGCTCAAGGTCATGAACATGGCAAATCCAATCCAGACCTACTCAAAGACCAGTCAGGGGCTTATCAATTATCTACAGTTCATAGAAAGACTGCAAGATGCAATGGAGAAACAATGAATAAATGTCGAGGCCAGAAACCAATTAGTTTTACAGTTGGCCAAGGACAATGTTTATGAGAACTGTTGAAGGGTCTTAGAACTGTTGCCAAATGAGAAGCCATCCTTGGATGAGATGATAAATGCTTGTGCCAAGGTTGGATCCAATGCCCATAACATGTCCTTGTTAGCAGACTCCATAGCGGCAGCTGTGAAAGTGACACCCCTGTGCTACAGATGTGGACAACCAGGCCACCTAAAAGCCAACTGTCCTCATAAGTCTACACTACCAGGGACAATTCACAGACAAAGGAATACAACTTGTAGCCAGTGTGGAAAAAACAATCCAGTGACCAGACAATGCAGATCCTGAATTCATTCTGACACAGTTTCCTTTAAGGACCAGGGAAACAGAAGACCCAGCATGAAGGGGAGAGACACGTGATGATACAAGCATCTTCCCGCCTTCCTGTCTGAGCCTATGTGACCAGCTCACAGGAGGACCAGAGACACAGCCGGAATGGATGTTTCCACATCCATCTTAACAACCATAAGCACTTTAAAGGTACACAGGGTCCCTCTCAAGGCCCACAGGCCCATCTGGAGAGGACCGAGTGCACTGTTTATCAGAAGATCCAGTGCTAGTCTACAAGGTATTTTTGTGCACCCTGGCATTATTGATACAGGTTTCACTGGGAAGATACACGCTTTGGTTTCAACCCCTACTCCACCTGTGACAATCCCTGCAAAACCACAAATTGCCCAACTCATCCCTTTTAAGTCTCTTGTCCCCAAAACAGAGCCTATAGAGTGAGGAGACCGAGGCTTCAGATCCATCGGAAAACCCCAGACACCGGAACACAGTGGATACCAGATGTGCCCTACATCATGGTCAGGACCAGAGACAACATCCTCATGATGATCCTCCAGTGAGGAGACAAAGGACTCTGCACGATTCAATGTGAATCATGCAAAAGCTGTTGTGCTTTTAAACATCGTTTATTTACTTCTTATCTTGGTCTACATAGTCACACATTGTTTAATTGGTAGCTCCACTTTGTCCGCACATCTCTTGATTGGAAGCTCTACTTTGTCCATGAGGCAAGCACTCATCTCTTTCTTAATCTAATTGGTAGATGCTGTAAATGTCATTTTACTCGCTTTGACACCCCTTTGTCAAAGCAAAGGTTTTCTGCTTCTCTCTTCTTTCAACATCAGCTTTTTTATCCACAGAGATGGCTTCATTCTTTAGCTCCAGAAGGATAGGCTGGTTCGGTTAGTACCTGTCCATTTTCCTGTAAATATAATACTACACTCCAGCAGATGTTGAGAAGCAGTGACTTAAACAACTTGCACACCTGCCACACAGAGAACTAGAACTTCTTGAGATGACAAGTCTATTTAAGGCTTTTATCTATTTATGGACATGAAGGTTTTATACATATTTAAATGTGAGGACTTGACCTGAAAATTTTGAGACAGATTGTTTTTCTCCATGGTTCTTTTTCCTACAGTTCTGAGAGTTGAAATGTTTCTTGTTTTTAGAGTTAAGTTGTAAATTTATAATTTTTAATCTATAATCCTGCACCATGCCAATTTGATAACTTGCATTGTTAGTGGCTCTGCCTGACAGCTCCAGAGAGTGAATGTTATGACTTCAAAGGTGTATGGGATCATCACCAACTGAAAAGAGGCTGGGCCTGTCAAACTGAGTTGAAGGTCTCCTTCAAGCTTTTCAACACCTAGAAAGATTGAGGTTTTTACACAATGCTGTGTCTGTCATCTTGTCTGCAAGGGCCCTGCAGAGGATGACAGACACTGTTTTGTATTTAAAAACAAGAAGGGGGAATTGTGGTGGCCCACAGCTGGCCTGGAGGCCTCACAGTTACAAACAATCCCAACTTTATAACTGAAATGTGATTTTTAATATAATTACCTCGCTTAAGTAACTGGACCAGTACAGCCCATTGGAGACAGGCCCAGGACTGCTATTGGCTGGCTGGGCTGGGTGGTGACTGGCTCAGCCAATGGGGATTGACCACATATGCCTTCCGGTCTATATAAGGAGAAGAGGTCTCAGTAAAGTTGGCTGTTGCTGCAGGACCTTTGGATGTGTTTGTCACTGTCCTGCCTCCGACACATCACTGCCACGATGGAGGATTTTATAGTAGACCATGAATTTGGATTTAAATTCTGTTTCTTTTTGAAACAGAGTATTAATGACTCAAAATCACTTCCTGGGCTGATATGTGGTGTATTGATGACCTTTCTACACAGATTTGCAGATCCACCAGGTATAGATTCAGAGTAACTTGGTGCATTTTATGACGTGTGATTTTAAAATCTTGTCTTCTGCTCCAAGGCTCACCAAAAATAAGCCTCTTCTTGCGGGAAGGAGCCATGTATAACTACCAACATGTTTTATGTCTTTGTGTCTGTGGGGTTTCAAAAACTTGACTTTCTATCTTCTTCAGCTTCATAAGTGTCCTTATAAAAATGTCATTCCGTGTTTTACTGAAAAAGTTTGAAGTATCTCATTCTGTACAGGCACTCTTTAATGATATATAAAAATAGTGAGCTTCTTTTGACTGCTGTGTCTTAAAAGCAATGGAAATAATAATGAAACATAACCAAGGACCATATTTTGGGCAGCAAACAAAGGAGAAAGTGAAGCTCCTCATCCAGCTGGCTGACAGCTTTGTAGAGAAAGGACACATACACGCCACTGAAATTAGGAAGTGGGTCACCACCGTTGACAAACGCTACCGGGACTTCTCTCTCAGGATGGGGAAATACCGCTACTCCCTGGAAAAAGCCCTTGGAATCAACCCAGAGGTACTGTAAGACCCTGTCCTGTTGGGGTTTTGTGCCAGAGTCACAGAGGAAGGTGAAGCCTCTGGTATGAATGCTGTTGTCTTCCATGTGGCCATTAGAAACAATGAAAACTCAGCCAGCCCACCTGGCCATGCTCAGAACTACTTCTGGAGAAAAAGGGTTAAAGGTTTTTTCTGTGGTGGGTCAGTGATGTGAGGAGAGGCCAATGAAGACCAGAAAGGTTTTCTAAACAAGTGTTTGCACCATTTTTTAGGAGGGAGGGTTCATTATTCAGGGGAATAATGAATTATTCAGTTAATTAATTGAATAAAAGTCTGTGTTAATCTTGGTGTAAACTATAAATCTTGTTCCCACACCATTATTTTTGTGTCAAACTCTTAAGTTTTCATTGTCTCATCCTTTAACATAAACAACTGATCCCCAACCTCATCTCTGAACTCTTTCAGGGGAAATAGAGCATCATAAGAAGCAAAAATTAGGATCTCCTGCTATTCCCTGGCCATACTATTAAGGAAGAGTGCCAGAAGCAGAAACACTTAAAAACCTTTCAGTCAACAGCTCTCTGGAATTAAGTATCAAGAATAAGGAATAAATTTCCTCACACCCTCATGATGCTTTAACTGCACTGTTCCTTGTAGGGCCTCTGGTTTACACAGAATTCTGACCACAGTCTGGAAAGGTATTCCATGGTAAATGGCCACTGAAAGCTGTCTCTGCATGGTGCTCTACTTTATCAGACTGTTTTTTATCAAGTCCCATAATAGACAACTATTTTAGATATGAAAGAGTAAGGTAATTTAGACTTTTTTATCAGTATTGATTCTTAGCTAGGAGAAACAGTGAAGATTACACTGAATATAATTTCTGGTTTTTTATGATTTCTCTATCAGCTTTTTATCTCTTCTCACAGTACTTCTACTTCTCTCTAAATTTCCTCCTTTTTGATATTATCTTACATTTGTCCCTTCTTACCTCTTTGATCTCATGAACATGCTGTACTTTGCACGACAGTAAGATTGCAATGAAGTTCAACTCTGTACCTTTTTTTCTTTTGTTCCCTAGGATAACAAAGACCTAGAACTAGATATCATTCCAGCAAGTCTTTCAGACCGGGAGGTAAAGCTGAGAGATGCAAATCATGAAGTCAATGAAGAAAAAAGGAAGTCAGCCAGAAAGAAAGAGTATGTTCCCAGACACTCTGTCTGCATGGCACAGTATCTGCTAAAGAATAATTCTGTGGTGTTTGCATGACCAGGACTGACTGACAGTCCTGTAACTCCTTCCAGCTGCAGAGCTACTGAGATAAGTTCTGCAGGTGTAGGGCAGAAATTGTTACTTGTAGGTTAGAGAATTTCAGAACATAAAGGTTGAATTTGTTTTGGTTTTAATCAGAAGTTAGAAAGGGAAAGCAGTGAGTCAAGCACTTGGATTAACCTTGATGTGGTGGAGTTGCTTATTGCTGTCTTGTTGTATGTAAAAAGTAACAGGGGCGGGAAAAAATAAAGAGCATCTTTGGATGTCTAAGTATTATCTAAACATCAGTGACCCAAGAGTTCACTTGAAGTTTAGGTTCAAATTTCAGCAAGTGTAGAACTGAGAGACCTGGAAATAGTTCACACTAGAGGAAATACTTGAGAAGTGCTTGTTGCATTTAAATCCATAAATACTAACTGTTTTCACAGTATCCTGTCTTATTTTTTGTGTAAGAATATTGGGAAAGTGTTTCTCAGCCCTCTGAAATTGTCACTACAGGTCATAAGAGAAACCACTTATACTTTAGAAAATGTTACACTTGGTCTGCCTGTGGCAAATTTGCAAAACACCAAGAATTTCAGCTTTGAAGGGCCCAGCCTCAGGGTCTACAAATACCATTCTTGCATTTCACAGCATCTGGATTTTCTCTGGTCAGGTACCAAGCTGTTGAAGTCTCTTCAAAGTAGTGGTGTCTCCCAAATCCATTTGTGTTGCCCCTGAAGGTAAAGTTTTAGGGTGACTTCCCACTGACTGTCAGCAAAGATGCAAATGTTGTTGGTGAATCCTTAATCCTTGGGGCAAAAAATTTCTGAGAACCGGCTGATGGTTCAGGATGGGCACATAGATGGTAAATCCCATGGACTCAGGGTTGCAGGAATACAACTTAATAGGATTTTGTGCAGAAAAGATTTTTAGAAAAAACTCTACCAGGGACTGGATTATGAAGTGGTATTTTGATCATGGACTGAAAAGTGCAAAGTAAGGCAGCTGAAAGCCTAGGTTGGAAATACGCTTATTCCTTAATACAACAGGAGGATGTTTTGTTTTCTGTTCATTGTAGAAATGCTCATAATGTCCAAAACACCTAAAATACTCCCTTTTTTTTTTTTTTTTTTTCAGATTCATTATGGCTGAGCTGCTGCAGACAGAAAAAGCTTATGTCAGGGATTTACATGAATGTTTAGAGGTAAGTTATGGTCCAGGAGGTCTCCTGTATTTCCTGGAAGCACATGTTGTCCTCTGCAGTGGGGATGTTCACTTTAATGCACAGGCTGTGCACACTGATTCAAGGAGCCTTTCCTTAAGAATTCAAATCTATTCCTTTGAATTATCTCATGGTAGAGAAACTTCTGTATTTGCACAGTCAAATACCTTGTCTAGCTGTACAGAAGGGTGTTCCTAAAGTAGATAGTGATATTCAAGGCAAAAATCAGAGTGTAATTCAGTGAAATCTGTCAGCTTTCACATTCCTGCAGTCTGACAGATTTTTATGTGTCTAATGCTACTGAAGTGGCAAATCTGGCTTATCTTTTCAGCTGTTTCTGCCTGCAGTTTTTGGACACCATCAGGTGGACAGCAAAGACAGGTGTTGTTGGCATGTTTCTGCTTTTTCTTCAGACAACTTCAAAGCATCAGCACTTTGAATTTCTCTGGAGAGCTTTCTGTAACATTGGAAAATTATTTTTTTATAATTTAGCTTGTTTATTAATCTCAAAGTACATAGTTCCTTTTCAACCTGTGTCTTTGGCAATAAAACAGGGGGATCTATTTTTTTCCACTGTATTTATTCACAAAATTAAGAGTTTCTGCTGTCTTCCAGACTTACCTCTGGGAAATGACGAGTGGAGTGGAAGAAATACCAGCTGGGATCCTTAATAAAGAACACATCATCTTTGGCAATATTCAGGAGATATATGACTTCCATAACAAGTAGGTTTTCTTAACAGTTCTGCTAATGTTCAGGCACTTGTGCATCTCTGTGGTGTCTCCAGAAAATCCCTACACACACGCCTGAGTGTAAAATAATTGATCCAAATTTGCAAAATAATGTCTGATTTCTTGCTTTGTTTCTTTTACAAAAATGAATTGCTACTTAGTTCTAACATCACCTTTAGCTGATCAACAATGTTAAAGCCATATTATACCAGTGGATCTAGTCTGGACACTTGCCTGTCAAAAATATGATCTTGGAAAACACAAAGGGAGACAGTGGAATTGTTGGCATGAGCTGGGTTAATAAGTAGCTTTCTGCCACTTCTTGGAGACTTTCTGTATTTAATCTGTAACTAACAGTACCCCATCTTGTTAAGATAAGACTGTGTACCAGATCAGCTTAGAGGGCATTGTTTCCATGGTATAATGGGAATGCAACAACAGTTATAAACTTCACATTTAGGGGTGCTGGATCCAACAAGTTCAGTCTGAATTCCAAATCTGTCTTCAGGTTACACTTTAAAAACAAACCAGAGAATCTTTCTCTCTTTTAGTTCTAGGACATTTCAAGAGCTTCATTCAGATAAATGTGCTAGCACATAAACAGGCCCCAGCAGAGCAGAGCATGCCCTGTGCATGCTTTTGTGCAAGCAGCTTCAAAGCATATCAGGATAGCAGCCTGACTGCCTTCGCACTTCCCTTTCTCTGTGGTGCTATGTTTTTATTCTGGTGGCCCTGCCTGATGCCATCTGATTACCCTCCTTTTAGAGTTTCCACTGTTCCCAGCTACCATCCCTCCAGCCCTCAGTCATATCACATAGCTTCTCACTGCTGTCATTTCTCTTTTCTCTGACCCTTCCTCCTGCAGCCTGCTGCTTCTGCATAATCATTTCTTCCTCTAAAATTTCTTTCTTGTTATGCTAAAATAAATTTCCCCTGTGCCCTCTACCAGTGTCCTCCACAGCCTTCTCTTTCAGATGGTGATCTTAAGGCATCCTCCAGCCTGATTCAAAATCCATGTCCAAGGAAGGGCAGAAAAACTGGTGAATGGTCCAGAAAACATGTTCTAGGAGGAGCAGCTGAAGAAACTGTTTCATATTCTTTCTACCCAGGCATTGTACAGGGCTCTATGTGCAAACAAGTGTCACTTGTGATACAAGCTATTCAGAGAGAGTTGGTTTAAAAAAAATCTCTAATTTGGAAGTTTACTACTTACCTGTGAAATGTTGAGCTTGTTTAAGTTGTTGTCCTTTGTCCAGTGTGCTGAGTTGGGTGTTGGGAATCTGGCAGCTTTGGGCTTCCCTTGTTGCTCTTTGTCTGAACCACTACACAATAACTCTTTGAAGATCTGTGTTCAAATAGAACAGTCCTGAACACACTGACTCACTACTCGGGATTGCCTCTTTTTCCTTTCTGGTGGAGTTAGGCATGACTGTACTCAAAAAACAAAGCACCCCTTGGCAAGTGACACTTTTTCTGCTAGCTGGACACTTGGGTAGCCTCATAATCAAGATACAAATGTTGATCATTTGGACTGATTAACTCATTGGTTATCCTGCATCTCCTGGGTATTTGACTGTAACTAGTTACATTGGTGTCTTCTTTTTTCAGCATTTTCCTAAAGGAGCTGGAGAAATATGAACAACTGCCCGAGGATGTGGGCCACTGCTTTGTCACCTGGGTAATGAGGCTGCTGTTTCTCATTATTTATTCAAATTAATTCCTCTAACACAAATGGGAACAAGCTGGGAATATGTGCAAAGGTCATGGCCCGGTGATTGATGGGATTAGGAGCTAGTCTGGAACTACAACTGCTTTGTCCTTCACCTGCCCCAGGTGAAAGTTTCCACCCTTCTCCTCAGCAATTGTATGAAGGCTTTCCAGAGCCTCTCTCCTTTTCCTGACTGACCACTTCAGCTTTTATTTACCTCTGCTGATTTTTGTTTAGCAGAACTTTATCAAACCAAACCTGTTTTTAGGGGTGACAGCCATGAGAACTCCACAAAGGCATGAAGAACATATTTTATCAACTTTTTTTTCCTCCAGAAATTAGTGTCAAATTTCTGAGCCACTGTGCTCTCTCATTCCATTATGCAATGCCAGGATAATTTCCAACAGGACTTTGAAATACTGATGCAGAGAGTCTTAGTGAGCGTAGGAGTCTCTGGGAATTGGCTATAGTAATTTGTCTGTATGAAAGCTGTTCTCTTTTCAAAATATTTACCAGTCAAATCAGCCATCTTTGTATTTTGTCTGATTTTTTTATTCATATATCAAAGCTAGAAATTAGTATTTTAAGAGTAAAGATGGTACCATTTTACCAAAAAATGACCTTGTTTAGATGATTTCAGATGGGCATTTAATTTAAAAACATGTCACAAGTCTTGATGAAATGGATTCAGAAACATCATTTACAAAGAACAGCTTACCTGCTTAGGAAAGATGAATGCATTTATGTATCATCCTCTGCAAAATCCTCATGGTACTTTAAGATACTTCTGCATCATCTCATCAAAGATTCATGTCCAGAGCTGTGTGTGTGTGGTAACAAATATACATACAAAGCTGTCTGCACAATTGCAGGATCCTGTTGTTTAGATATCTGGAATAAAAAAATGCAAGAGTGGTAAAAGGAAAACATCCTCTTCTTTTATTTCCCTCCCTCTTCTTGAGACCAGAGTACATTAATAAGAGGTGGGAGTGCACAGATGTTTTTAATTTCTGCTTAAAAGTAAACAAATTAGGAAATAAAATGCAAAACACTCCTAGCACAACATAAAATTTGAGCCACTGAAGTTTGAACCAAAGTAAGAAAGGCAAGTCTAGGCCAAGTGTCACAAATTTCAAGTGAAAAATATTGGCTTGTGCCAGTTTAAACTAGGTGAGTCACTTGGCAGTTTGTAGACTGGCTTTGTCTTCAAGTAGGTGATAGTCAACACTTCATGACTGAGTTTTGAGACCTTCAAACTCTTGTGTAACATTCTTAGAGCTCTTAGAAATTATTTTACAATTGGATTAAAGTTTTAGGCCTTCCCTTTGTGATATTTGTTAAAGAAAGCCTCCCTCAGAAGTGCTCAAGTAAGGTATGAACCTTAAAGCCTTCTGCTCTTAATTTCTGCTCTTGTGCTGCTTGGTGGCAGGGTGGGGCTGCTGGTGGTGGGTGTGTGGGAGTTGTCACCTGTATTTATCCTGGTGTGCCTTAATAAAAACCTGTGGGAAATAGCAGAGAAATAGCTTATCTTGCTTTTCCCTTGATGTTTGTTTTCACAGGCAGATAAATTTCAGATGTATGTCACCTACTGCAAAAACAAGCCTGATTCCAGCCAGCTCATCCTGGAACATGCAGGGACTTTCTTTGATGTAAGCAGCCATTGCTGATTTCCTTTCACACCTGGTGCAGCTGAAACACCTCTTTTTTACACTCGAGCTATGGGTTCCTTTCTATGCCTTGGCATTTGGGTTTTTCATTCCACTGCAAATATCACATGCTGTGAGAACTGATAGGCTGTGGTGTGGAGTGTGGTGAGGTGTGGAGACACACATTCTAATGGGAACCTTTGGGCATTTTGTAGATCCGGTCCTTTCCAAAGATCTGGTTCAGATGTAATCTCTGTTTCTGGCTTAGTGAAAAAATGAAAATCTCAGATTCTGTTATATATTACGACCTGAAATTCCTAAGTCTAAGTAAAAACAAGTTCCTATCCTCCTGTTCTACCCAGCCTATTCCATATTTACTTCATTGTGCTAATAAGGAACTCCATTGACTCCAATTAACTATTTCCCATACAAGTGCTACAGCCAGTGGTAAATGTTTTTAGGCTCCAATTCCAATTTTGTAGGCTGAGAAAAGTCTTTCAAGATTTTGAGTACCTTTAAACCAAGCTCTTCCTCTTACTTAACCTCATCCATTTTGCCATGCTTGTCTGCTACCTTGTAGCTCTAATTAGTTGTTTTTCTAAAAAAAAAAAAAAAAAAAAAAAAGTGCTAAGGCCTCTCCTCTAAAGCATTGAAAGTGTTTGCAAATGTAACAGATCAGCAGGATCCAAGCTGTGGAGTTGGCAGCTGACATAAATCAGCTCCTCTGGAGTCTGTACGTGCCAATGGTTACAGCATTTCAGTCTCACTCAACAATGAAAGGTCTCTTGGAGCCACAGGAAAAGTGATGAGCACCTTTTTCTTTTGCCGCGTTACCGAATGCTCTAAAAATGGAATGGGACTGGGATGTGTTTTCCAGGAGGTGGCGCTTGAGCCTGTTGAATGGTTTGTACTGGTCGGCGGCAGTGCAGGGTCGGAGCCGCCTTAGGTTGTCTGTCCATCTGTGCTGTTTGCACAGCTTGAAAGCTTTTCCACTCCAGCTCTCTGCATAGGCTGGAAAGCTGCCTGATATTTCTTAGTAGTGAATATTCGTGTGTCAGCATCTGCTGTTTTGCCAGGGGGAGGTGTTTGCCCCTCATGGGTGCTGGGCCATCACCCAGTGATGCCTGTGCAAAAAGAGAAAGCTGACTATCCCCCCAAAAACTCCACAAGGTTTTCCTCCACAGTGTGAGTGACTAAAGTAATGCAAAATACCTGTAGAGCCTTCTTATCTTGATCTGGAGTGGCAGTGGCTCAGGGGCAGGACAGCCTGGCACAAGGATACTGAGAAAATAGTTGGTTCTTTTTTTTTTCCAAGCAGAAACTGGAATTTCCCAAAACCCTGATGATGAGAGTGAATTATCTAGAATAACACCACTTAGTAAGAAGCCTGCTTGAAAATCACAAGTGTTCCTCAAATTTCATAAGCTTTCATAGAAAACCACCTTTGAGATTAAAACAAGCAGTCCCAGTAATGTTTGAACCCTTTAAGCCCATGGAAAACTCGCAGCTACAGGGCTCACTGTAAGGGTTAACTGATTATGAGAAGGAGCAAAGATAGGTGACATATCTCATGTGAAACCATGAAGAGAATTACGAGCTGAGAGCTGGGATGTTCTCAGGATGTAAGTGAAGCCATGTATGTAGAGAAAAGCAATTTATTTTATTGAACCAGTTGAGACAGGTGGAAAACAACGCACAAACTCTCAACTGTGAAACACACCTAGTTTATCCTACAGCGTTAGTCTAATAAAGCATAAAGATTACCATCTTCCCTCCCTACAGATGGTGCTTTGTTTATAAAATCCAGAAGTTTTTGGTATGGTTATATTAGCTGGAAATTGCACAGGGGATGAAAAGAGTGTGTTTATTCTGATTTAACTTCAGTAGACTTATTAATTTCGCTCTTTCAATTTTTGAATCTGTCTTGTTCATCATTACTTAAACTGTTCTTTATTCAGCAGTTTCAAAGATAAATGATGCCTGCCATGTTTAACAAATTTTAATATTTGTAATACCATATACTTCAGGCTATTTTTGATTACCAACATATGTTAGCTGTCAGCTTCAATTGGTAGAATCAGCATGTTATTGGGGTAATCAAGTTGATTTTAGTGCCTTTAGTTAAGCAAGCTTTGATCTTTGGGACAGAGTTTGGTTGAGACATGTACACGCTTCTTCTATTTGGAATACTTTTTTTGCTTTGAATCTTGGAAAAGATACAGTTTTATACCCAAGAAGCCACAGGGCACTTTGGATTTGCATGACCAGCATGGAACATGATGAAGCTCAGTGACTTTGGTAGCATTGCAGAGCATGGTGTTTCTGCATGGATGAGGGTTCTTGGACAGTTTCTCTGCTGAGCCAGAATGTCCCTTAGGAAATGAGCAGAGGCACAAACAGGCTCTTACTCCAACACTTCAGGGACCATAGGGAGGAGCTGCAGGGAGAATGACCCTTCCCAGCACTTGTCAAATGTCACTCCACCAACCTGCTGTGTTTCTGCACAGTCTGACCAGGCAGCATCCTGGCAGAGCAAGGAGTGCCCAAAGGAGAGCATCTTGCTGAGAGCAAGCCCTGCTGTTCAGAGAGCTGCGGGAAAGGACTAGGGCTAATTTTGTTACTTGGATCCTGCTAAAACAAGTGTACTTTGCCAGTTCCAGGAAGTTGACAGACACGGCCGAAGTCTTGCTGGCTCCTGCAGTTAGGAATTGAGTCTCAGCCATGTGCTCTGCAGGCACAGTTCCTCTGTGAAGTCAGCTATGACTCAGCTTCATGCAAACTCCATTAACCCCCAAACAGGGCCCCTTTCCCTTTTCGGTCTTGTTCATGGCACCAGAGCTAGTTAAAAAAACAAACAAACAAAAAACAAAACCAACTTTTATAGTAAAAGAAACCAAACCAAAAATCTGTTGTGTGAGAAATGGATGCTTTTGCATCCCAGCATTAAGACAAACAGTAGAGCTAAAAATAAGCAGTAACCTCCCTAGTACTCAGCAGAAAATCAGATTGTATACAAAAGGAAAATTTCTGTTCTTGGCAGCTCTTCTTCTTTCATCTTCCATAACTTCTTTGCTTTACAGTCTCAAATTCACATTCCAGTAGCTAGAGAAAAGTCCCATTCCCCTTTTTTATTTGCTTCCTTAGGAATCATGGATTTCCTGGTGGCCAGGAGTAAGACAAGGCAGGCTCAGGGCCTGGCAGAGACAGAAGGGTTTCCAATCTGTTCTATTTCGTCAGAGAATCTGTCCCTGTAGGGCATGAATTTGGAGTCTTTTAGGTGGCTAAATACATTTGTTAGGGTTCTGTAGAATTTTCAGGAGCTCCCAACTCCCCCTGGAACTGTTGTGGGGAGACAGCTGGGCCCTTTGCAGCTCTCAGCAGGTCTGTGATGTCTCCAGAAATTTATGAGCACATCACACTGATCAGCCCAGACATTTTGGTTGAGGTTCAGGTGACAAAACAGAGTCTTCAGTGCTGTACCAGGTATCATAAGGGGATACCTCTCCTGGCCCCCAGGTGCCACCTCAGAGTAGAGCACGTCTGTTATTACCATGGGGATATTTCAGCTACCCCAGGGCTCTCAAATGGGACTCAATGCCTATGTTTAGACAGCTAAATTACACCCTACTCATGCAATTTAATTTAATGTCACTTCATTTTAATTGAATGTTAAGACTCTGCTTTCAGCCTCCTTAGCTAGGGGAAACCAGATGACATGACAGGTAAGTCATACTTAAATCAAGGCCTGTTTACTCAGCAGAGCTTTAGCTTGACTTGCAGAGGGACCCTGCAGTTTATTGCCAGCCTCTCTGAAACCACACTTACGTGCATGTGAGCTTAAAGAGAGTTAAAAAACTAAACATAGAATGCAGGGATCCAGAGCTAAAATTAGTTTTGGGTGGTTCTGTCTGGCTGGGGGTTAATACTTTTCCATGACTGACTGCTGTTTTTATCCCTTCTAGGAAATTCAACAAAGACATGGGCTGGCCAACTCCATCTCTTCTTATTTAATCAAGCCTGTTCAGAGGATCACAAAATACCAACTCCTACTGAAGGTAGCTCAGTGAGCTGCACAGATCAGCTCATGCAGAGTAGTTCACAGGTGTAATGAGTTACTTTTGCTTAAGGGAGCTGCTTCATGACCTGTAAGTGCCCAGAAATCTTCCAAGGGCACAGTCTCCCTTGAGAGCACCTGGTTTTGTCTCGTGTTATAGTTGTTCCCATCTGACCCCCCACTTTGATTTGTGAGCATCCACAGTGGGGTTTGCTGCAGTTGAGCTTTCTCCTGTCTCTGAAGCAGCTTGCAGGGACCAAGTGGCACAGATGGGTGCGAGGGCAGCACGTGGATCAGTTTGTTTATGGGTGTCTGCATTGCTTCTTAGGAACTACTGACCTGCTGTGAGGAGGGTAAAGGGGAACTGAAGGATGGTCTGGAAGTGATGCTCAGTGTCCCAAAGAAGGCCAACGATGCGATGCACGTCAGCATGCTGGAAGGTGGGCAGGGGCCAGGGAGGGGAGGGACCTGCTGAGAAATGTTTGTTAGTAACTTGTGGTAGAAGTTACTATAGGTTGACTGTAGCAATACTGTTGTTTCATCATAATTTTTAGGTACCTCCTGGCTCCTTTCTGATATTTTTCCAAAAGTCTTGAAAGAATAAAGAGGCTAGGAAGTTTGGTGGGGAGGGGAGAAGGGGAGGCGTTTATCTGTATCTTCTGTGTGTGTGTATATATACATCTGTGATGTATGTGTGTGTATATATATATATTTAGCTAAAACATTCCTTCTCCATTAAATGAAAAAAATCCCCTCCTGAAACAGTATCAGTTTAGCTGCTGACAGCTGTAAAAATTATTGGATGAAAACATTTCATAATACTGTTTCAACGTTTCAAAAGTTCTGGTTTTGTGAGTCAAAACAGCTTGTGTTTCAAAATGTTAGCATGGTTATGCCAGCGATTTAAGAAGCAGCATTAAAAAAAATTTTAGAACTGCAGGAAAAAAGTTTGATTGGCACAAAGTGAAGTCTTTTATTGTCTTATTATTGTGCGGAGTATTTCTGAAATGTAAAAATTTTATTCTGGACTGAGATGCTTTATTGTGTCTCACACATTTTCTCGGTCTGGGAAGAGAATTTCCAGCTTGACTTGAGGAAAACCAAGAAACAAGTAGAATACTAAAACAAATGAAAAAAGGAACTGTGCCAGTAGCCAGGCAGCACAATAAGCCCAGGTGATTAAAACTGCAGGAGAGCGAACTGAATTTGTAATGAAGTGCAAAGGATTTCTTTCAATGCAGTTCTGTGTACAGTAACCACCACTGAAACCTTCATAATATTATTTTTGAGAAATTATTACAATACTTCAGCAGCAGCCTCATTTAGCACATATGACATATTTGACCTTCAATGAATTAATTGCAATGCTGCAGTAGAAAAAGAAAGGAGAAATTAAAATATTATCGCTGGGGCAATAGATAGCCTTTATTGTCCTTTCAGAATCTGGAAAAACAAAAAAAAAGAAGAGAAAGACTCTTTTATTTCAAGTCTTCACTGCTTTGGTGTTTCTGTGAATTGCTTGTCCCAAGAATAAATACAAGTGATTGTATTTTGTGGTTTTAGGGTTTGATGAGAACCTGGACGTCCAGGGAGAGCTGATTCTTCAGGATTCCTTCCAAGTGTGGGATCCCAAGTCTCTCATTCGGAAAGGCCGTGAGAGGCATTTGTTTCTCTTTGAAATCTCTTTGGTGTTTAGCAAAGAGATCAAAGATTCTTCAGGACACACAAAATATGTTTACAAGAACAAGTTACTGGTAGGTGTGGCTGCAAAGCAAATATTCTGGGTGTTGTGTTTTTTGTAGGTAGAAGTTGCATTTTGGAGGCTCACATGTCCCCTGCTGGGTTGGGGATACTTGTGCCCCTGGAAGGGCTGGCCCTGAGTCCTGCAGGACTCACCTGGAAGTCAGCCTGCAGTGAGTCTACAGAGGTTTAAGGTAGTGAGATGTGAAGGGTGGGGGGAAATGAGAGCAGGATCACTCCAGCCGTTCGCTTCCCTGCCACCCCAGAGCTTTTCTGTTTCTTTTATCTGTGTGTAGCAAACGGAGATAAGATCCCATTCCCCTACCCATCCCAGCCTCCCCACTTCTTCCTACAAGTCCAAAGTTTTCTGGACTCGTGAAGCTTCATATATATGAAATCTTTCATCATTTCTCCTCCACACTAGACCTCAGAACTGGGAGTGACTGAACATGTTGAAGGAGATCCCTGCAAATTTGCTTTGTGGTCTGGACGAACACCATCCTCAGACAATAAAACAGTGCTGAAAGTGAGTTTTTTCTGTTTGTTTTCTTTGCCTTTAGCACTTCTAGTTCAGGCCTTGGGAGCCTTGAATGAAAGGTCAGTTTCTTCCCTTGTCATATTCCCATGGCTTCCATATCTGCCTGTGGGGTCATGCCTGCATCAGGAGCAGCTGAGCTCTAAGGAGTCAGTAGCAACTGGCACAGCTGTGCAGCCTTGCTGGAATTGCATCTCCTCTTGCAGCCTGGGTTGAGCAGTTGCACACTCACATAGGACAGGTCTCAGGGTGTTTGGCTGGGAGGTGTAATTATCTCAGTCCTTTGCCACCAGGCTTCATCAATACCCAACCTCTTCCACAGACCTCCAGAGCTGACAGCCTGTTCTGTCAAGTGACTCTGCTGAGGAATCCATGTTATAATTGTTTTGTCTAAGGAAATCCCAGCTGTGCACTGATAACCTGTTTCCCCTCTGCAGAGCATGCTGTATTGCTAGCATTAAATGTATTTATCCAGAGCTTAGCTGCTTTGCTGTTGCTTGCCAAGTAGGTCTGGTCAGAATGCTCTCAGTTCCCTGGGGTTACCAGGTACTCCAGCAGCTGTGACAATGCAGCAGAGAGGACAAAGTTACTCATGACATTCATCAGCTGACCCTGACTCCTTCACGCAGGAGGTGAGAACATGATAAAGTCTCTGTCTTTCTGCCTTGTGAAACTTTAGGCATCCAGTATTGAAACAAAACAGGAATGGATCAAAAATATCCGGGAAGTTATTCAGGAAAGGATCATTCATCTGAAAGGAGCTCTGAAAGAGCCAATTCAGCTCCCCAAGACACCTGCAAAGCAGCGAAACAACAGTAGAAGGTAACTTTAGTCATTCCCCACAACATGAAATCACTCATGTTTTCTCAACCCACAGCAGTGTGGTGTCTGTGGACTTTTTACTGGTTTTTACTGTAGTCAAAACACTTTTTATTGTCTTTGCCTTTTTTATGTTGTCTTGGCAAAAGTAGCTAGAAATCCTTTTTTATGATAGACGTACAAAGATCTTTCATTTTATGCTCTAAAGTATAGAGAGAAACAGTAAAAATTCTTCAGAGTCTAGGGTTATAGTTCTTTCCTAAAGTAGATTTTTCTTCTTCACATTTGAGTAAAACCAGATTTTTTTTCCTTGTTTGGCATGTTTAATTGTTTGGCAATCAAAATCATAGTTGATCCTTACAATATATTGAAGAATAGATAGAGAAATAATCTGTATTTCATCATCAAATACAGACTTGTTTCAGCCCGTCATGTAATATTCAATTTTTTTTCTCAACTTGTTCAATCCTGGATTAAATAGAAATTATAGATAACAATTTGTTCTTTTTCTGTTGTGGCATTCCCAAAAGCCACCTGTAATTTCAGCATCCTCATTTCCTCATCAGATTTTATCCCTCTTTTACTTCAGGCTGTGTTATAGAGATATCCAAAGCATAAATAATCAGGTTACCCAGGAGACCTCTAGCAAAGCAGAGATCCCAGACATTTCCTCTAAGAACATGCTCCAATATAAAAGTTTTCTTGTACAGAATGCAGACATATTTTTTCTTTGTCCTTAGGTATATATTTTATATTATTTAAGTATTCAATTTGAAGGACCAATAAACATTTATGATTATTTTATCTGTACAGCCGAAGGGAAGAAAATACCCTGTGTTAGCAGCCTCAGTGAGGTAAATAGGTAGAGCACTATACTGTCTTTATCTATGTTTGGATATCATCTTTATGACTTAGTATTAAATTCCTGAAGAAATGCAAACAAATGTTAGGGTTATTGTGCAAATCCAAACCCCACGGCTGAGGGTGACATCATTCTAAATTCCAAGAGCTCTATAGCATCATGGGCTGCCTCAGTGGGGTAATTTTATCACAATCCAGCTCTGTCCTGTTGACTCAGCTCTTCTCAACTCCACCTGTAAGGTTGTGCTCACTGGTGCTGTGTTAAGAAATATCACTGTTTCCCAATCGCCTCTCTTGCAGAGATGGAATAGATGATGCAGACAGCCAAGGGGATGGCAGCAGTCAACCTGACACCATTTCCATTGCCTCCAGGACATCACAGAACACAGTGGACAGTGATAAGGTAGGACTGAAATGTGAAAATACATGGCAGGTAATTGCCCTCAGAAAAATGTACATGGAAAGCAGAAGAGAAGGCAAAAAAAGGCAACCTGTCTTCTACTGAGTGAACTGAAACTTGTATTCCCCTTTGCTAGGTTATTAAAACCCAGTCTGTTTCTGTGTGCTCGTCAGTACTGCTCTTCTACACGGTAACACCTCTCTTACTGCTGCTTTTTGTGGGTAATACACAGAGGTTCAACTGGCTCTGAAGAAACAGCCCAGAGCAACCTTTTCTTGCCTAGTAAATCTTGTCCTGTGAGATCCAGCTTCTAAACAAGCAAACAGCTGGCTATGATACATGTTTCCCTCTGAGCTGAAACCAGACGTTTGTTGGAGGGAATGCAGGTACTTACACACCAATTAACGCAGCAACATTGGGATCCTGGCTGGTATCTTGAGAGCCTGGGAGACCTACCATTTCCAGAGACTGTGATATTCTGGACCCCTCTCCTCACAGACATATGCTGGAGCATATGGATGGCCCTGAGACATGCTAGATTCTGTTGGAATGCTGCACACTGTCAGCATGTATGTACTTGTCATTTTACTTGTCAGACAATCTGAGTCCAGATCCCAAGCTCCACCAGGATGACTCACTTGAATTTGTCACCCTGTTATCTCCAGCTGTGCTCTTCCACTGAATTAGCAGTTGATTGTAGGAGAAAATGGGCAGTTAATAATTACTGTAGGTACACTGATGGCACTTGTCATAGCCCCTGAGAGAATGCCCATATTCTCTTCATGTGTTGTTTTGAAATCACATATAACTTGAAGAAATCTGAATTCTCCCGTGCCTTTATGGATTTATCTGTTTGTCAGGGCTTTAATTATGCAGCCACTTTGACAAGGTAGAAGGGTGTCTTCACAAAATCAGAGTCTGAGCTTTGGTTGTAAAGTTCACAGGTAAGGTTCAGTGCAGACACTGTTTTGAAAGCTGGACTCAGAAATATAAGTTAATTGCAAATAAATTACCTTCATAAGACAATCTGTTGTATTTATCTTAAATGCATGTCCCCATGATTTTATGTTTTTGTCCAATAATATGCATTAGAAAAGTATTAAGCCTCACAATCCAAAGGCCACTGCAATGTATGCAAATACTTTGCCCAGTGTCTGAGAAGTCTTCAATCCACATGGACTTGTCTTACTTTCTGTGTTTTTCACATTTATCATTCCTGCTAAGAGGCCCTGACTTAGTGCAGTACTTGAGCTGATACATAATTTTAAGCACTCGCCTAAGCTTTGCTCGTTTGCCCCCAGCCCGTTGTCTCGGTTGCATGAATTCTGGCCACGTCTGGGTAAGATGCTCCATGTTGCATGCTGCAGCTGCATATAAGGGTTATGGTGCCAACACAGGCTGTGTACCCTGAAAGACAGCCCATTGTGGCAGGAGTTGGTTTAAGGATGCAAGACTAGAAACATTTACAGGAATTTCTGTCCAGAATCTTGTTTGAACTGAACAGCAAATGTGTATGAGATGAAGTGAGTTAAGATTGTACAGGGGAAAAGTTGTTATCACTGGGGAAAGGGTTGTGTCATGCTTTTTTTTTGAGGTGGATAGGTTCACTTGCTGACTTAAGACTGTGTGGTTTTGTGTCCTGTTATACATTTAATGAATAGAAACAAATTTGAGCACACAGCTAAGTCTGAAGGCTGCTTGTACATGCTTTGTTGAATCTGAGGTAGCAGTGTATCATCCTTAACTAGAGGGGCAGTTCCTGCTGAACAGTTTCCTTATTGTCACTGATGCTAATGCCAGAATACTGTGGAGAATTCAGCTCCTAGAGTGCTGCATTATCATGTCTTTGCTCCAAGGAGAATGAACTCCCTGCATCTCTTTATAGCTCTCTCATTTTTTCTGCACAACGTTACCCAAATTAGTGGCAGATGAAGCTGAGCTGCCTTACCTCCTGCTGAATTGGCAGAGTCACACCTGTGTTCAGTGTTCACTCAGACATCAGACTCACCTGCTGGCACGAAGCCCTCAGCACATGTTGGCACCTGCTGTGCAGGGACTGGCTTGTCAGCAGATCCAAAGCTTTGAAAGGACTCCTAATGGTGACATTTTACCACATGGGATTTTTTCCTTCAGTGTGTAGTTGAGTTATTCTTCTAGGAGGGTCTGAATGAAATGTGATTGGACTGGGAGGTTTTATATTCTCACATGGACTGCTGCTAGTTATCAGCACTGGAAGACAGGACCACATCATGCTCTCTAGGTAGGTTTTCTTGGCAGAGTTGACAGTTCTTGGCACACACTGTAGCATACAGGCAATAGTTAACTCCTGTGGGGCTGACAGCAGCTCCTGTGGGTACAGGGTTCAACCATCAGTGGTTTCCCTGCCTATTTCACTCCAGTATAGTCAGCAGACTTATTCCCATGAGGTCAGATTCAAGACTAGGGGCTTTTTGGGGCCGCAGCCTCCGTGGGTGACTTCTCTATGTGCCCCAGTGAGATCTCCATCCAGAGGAGCCAATGGAAAGAGTTCCTACCTTTAGAAACTCTCGCTGTTCACAGCAGAATCATCTGCAAACCCACGCCAAGAGCTTTGCAGTGCCAGCAGCGTGCCAGGATGGCAGCAGATTAATCCTGCCTTGGGACCATCTATGTATTAACTCCATGCCAGAAGCAATTCTCAAGTAATGTGTAAGAGTTGCTATTACTCTCTGAAGCCAAAAGAATTCAAAGATTTAGCTGACACACTTTGTCCTTTCCCTAAACCTTGCTATTGTGCCTGAGGGTTGCCTAACACATTAGTTGAATGTTCAGACAAGAATGTCAAACAACATTTTAGACAAAGAAAATCACAACTTCTCAAAGATTCTCAATTTCAAGTAGCAGTTCTGCTTAACAACACTCCTCATGCCTCAAGTCATATGTATTTCTTTCAACTTATTTGTGAGTCAACTCCTCCTGAGTTGTAAGTAGCAATTTCTGTTTTCTCTCACCATGGCACAGCCCTGGAGCTAAGCTTTACTTTTGTATTTCAAGCTCCTAAAAGACAAAAAGGTTTTTTATTGTTAAGTGGGAGTGAAATAACTGTACTGTAAATTCAGCAAGGATTTGTTTTCTCTCAAGACATTTATCAGGGGGATCCTTTGGTGCAGAGGGTAGAGCACTTGGGCTGGGGGCTGAGTCCTGGTTCTGCTCTGTCACTCACGTGTTGGACACCATCACAAAGTACATTTGATGGCACATTACCCTTTCCTTTATTCCCCTTGTTTGGTTGAGGAATTTTCAGGGGGAGAAACAAATTCTTACCTACATTACATTTGTACATTAATTACAGCATTATCCTCCATTGTCCCAACATATGATAGATGCCTGTTTTTGTAGCCCTTATGGTAGCAGACTCTGCTTTGAAAGTATTCTGAGTTATGTGCCTAACTCCAGAAGTGTTATTAAGCCTTTAAGTATGCAGACTTTCCTGACTGCAGTCAGTGGTCAGGTGATTATATAAGACTCTCCAGATTAAAAAAAAAAAAAATAATAGTGTCTGGGTCTGTTTAAATTAAATACCTGATTAAGTAGCTTCTTAAATCTGGATATGAGTATTTAATATCTTTACTTTACTTGAGCTTTTCTATCTCAAAAGTATGTAAAGCAATTATCTCCAGGCTCAAACATTTAATTTTCATTACATACTATATGGTAGAAACACAGACTTCAAGCAAGATCTGTAGGTCTGCACCTTTGTAAAAGAAAGAGAGAATATATAAAATGTTTCTTTTTCCATTTGCAATCCATGACTACTTCCATATGCAATCTATAATCCAAAATATTTCATACACAGGAAAAGAATTCTTTGGATTGTCATTTGGATTGTGTAAGTTTTATACAGGGGGGGAAAATGGGTTGATGACCCAGACCCAGTGCTAAAGAATCAATAGATAATGAATACTATTACAGGAATTGTAATTCCCATTGAGGATCCAGGTCAGGTCCCAGGTAACCAACTACACAAAATTTCTTCATCCTTTCCAAAAGGCAAAGGAGACAGCTTTTGTTCTATACAGTAAGCCCTCTTCAGTATGCTATCTAAAGTCCTCTCCTTAGAGAGAAATCCTTGCCCTATTCGCAGCAGACAGGATTTCAGTCTTTATATTTGGATTCAAAGCAGTGGGGAATGACATAAAGGAAATGTTATATGCAGGGCATTCTCATTTGTTAAGCCCATTGAGCTGTTGGCTTGTGAAACAGCTGTTTCTGGCGATACTGCTCCAGTTTCCAATGGCCTCCTTTTTGTTGGCTTTTGCAGACTACTGGGGAGAGCAGGTCTCATTTCCTTCTGTTGTTTTTGGATGTGGAAAAAGGCTCTGAAATGTGAACTGAAAATGTTTTACTCTCTAAAAATAAATCTACATTATACACTTTTATCTTTTCCATTAGATACTAGACTCAGCTCACCTTTCAGTCATGAGACTGAGACCTTGACCTCTTCCCAATTGGTGGTATTATATAAAATCTGGGAATAATCATTCTTCTAATTGAAGGTAATTTGTACAAGAGGGGAGATTTTAGAATTAAGGCTTGTTGGAACACATCACTTAGGGGCAAATTCTCTTTCTTTGAGTAGCTTCTAATCAAGGTAAAACAGCTTTCTCCCTGTGATGTTGCTGTAGCAGGATGTGCTCACTCACTGCTGGTGAGTTCTGTCTTGAGTCGCGTGCAAGAGACACATTTCTACTGCGGTTCTGGGGAATATCAAGGGACAGGGGGTGTTGATCCCCAGCAGTGCTTGTGTATGGCCAAAACATGTGTCACCATGGACTGGAGTCTGTGCAGACCCTGAGCTGTGGGACTGACGTGAGCAGCAAGCACCTGTCAGTGGAAAAGTCTCTCTGCCAGTGGTTAGTGGGTGCTATGTATTGCAGCTGGTGGGAAAGAAGCTGGAAGGTGCAATGGAAACTTTATGGCAGAGCCCAGGGAGAGCAGGATCATGGGAATACAGAGTGGGTGGT